ATGTGTTTAATCAGAGAAAAAGCTGTAGTACCCCACATGTATTGAAACAGAGAAGGATATTTCTCTGGTTTTGCTTTTTTTCACACCTAAAGTGATTTAGTAAGGTAGTTTAAAGAGCAGCATAAGAATGTCATGCATGATTTGCTCCGACTTGGAGAAAGATGAGATGAACTTACCTCCTGAGTGGCACGTGTCCCTGGAGCTCTGTGGCTCTGCTGTCCCTACGGGTGCTCCTGGCTGTTCCCCACTCCCCCAGCAGAACCTGTGCTGTGCAAAGCAGACTGCCACAAGGGAGAGTGAAAACCTGCCTGGGAGCAAAAGATGTGTCAAAAACAAATGGGCAGCAGCAAGAGGTGCTGTGGGATGGGCTGGCTCCAGGGATGCCCAGAAACAACCCAAGTTTGGCTCAAGTTCCCTAAGAAGCCCTTGTTTGTCTCCTCCAGCACAGTTTGGGTGCAGCATCCAAAGGAGGAGTGGAAGAGAGTTGACATTTTTGTTGTGACAGGTTTTGCAGTCCACATCTATTACACTTACAGGATGCAATCTATATTCATGAGAGGAAAAGCACTTGCATTTAAGCTTGCTTAATTCAGAAATATTTGTGGACCACTATCCTTGCAGCATTCTGTTACAAAGGATTATCAGAATGCTGTTCTTTGCTGCTCACCCACACCAGACCTCCTCTGGTTCCTTGGATTTAAATAAGCTTCAAGTCCTGCTCTCCATATTCCCCTATTCTTTATTTCTGTTATGTGAGCACCCCAAGGTCCCAGTCAGAATTTCAGGAGTTCCCAGGGTGGCTCATACTGACATTCCCTGTCCCAGGGGGTATCTGGGCACTCGTGTCCATCACTGCAATCCAGCCCTGGCAGCACTCACAGAACCAGGGAGAATATTTAAATAACAGAGTTTTCTGTGTAATCAGCCTGTAGCCACCACACTCTTCCAGGACCTCTGTACTCCTGTATGCCATTTATTCCTTGCCACATAAACCAGCATCACCTTCCCACAGCAAACAGCTGAATGACACACTTGTGTCTTCTAAAACCACACCAAATGAGCCTGGGTGGACACATCCAGTGAAATACAAATCAGTTCTTGTCACTCTGATCAAAGGAAGCTAAGGGTCAAACAGGCAGCTGAATAAATTCAGGAGAAGATATTGGGATTGCTTTTATAAAACTCTGACAGACTGACTAAACCTAAAAATCTCAACATAATACTAAAAAAACAGAAAAACAGTATTAAAAATTATTATAGATTGACTTATTTTCAATTTCCTATGACCCAATTCTACTTTTCAAGTCTAAGAAATGAAGCCAGTGAATTTAATGACACTGTGGTATAATCTTAAAAGCATTCTGGGAACTTGTGTCTTAACACAGGCTTTCACCTTGTTTTCCTTGGTTTGGGGTTTTTTTAAATTATTTTTCATTTTAAACCATGTGGTTTGGGGTTGGGTTTTTTTGTTTGTGTAGGTTTTTTGGTTTTGTTTTTTAGGAAAAATAATCAGATGAATCTACAAAGTAATGAAACACTTTGGATTTACTTTAAGTTTTTTATCCTGTCTTCATGCAGCTTGTTACAACAGACTAACTGACTCCAGCTCATCATATAGGAGACATTTTTAGAATAATTTTTATAATTAATACCAGGATAATTCTGGTATTTTACTTGCCAGAATTATGTGCACTGTTAAATATGTGAAGAATTGTATCTTTATGTGTATAGATGCAGGCTAGTAATGTATTACATGAAACAGAATGCTGTGGTAAGCAGATGTTCTCAGGATAAAGTGTATCTGATGTGCAATAACTTGTCAGACAATCATTAAATTTGTCAAAACGATTATTTAGCAAAGAAAGATAACTAAAAATATTACCCAAGAACTTTATGCAGCTAAAAGTTCACTGGTTTATTTCTCTTATCAAGAGTAACAGTCTGAAACATTTTACATTAATTTACAACCATCAAAAGCTCCTTGTGTTTATCTGACATAGGTGACATTGGGTCGTCCAGTTAGCACTAATCCTTATCCCAAAAATTCAATCTTTTTTAAGAAGTTAAACCTTTTTGAGTCATTTGTTGCCAAAACACATGATCAGTCTACAACCACACAGAAAGTAGAAATTGATATTTCTACAGAGCCACTACCATCACTATGAAGACACAATGCCAAGTTTACAACATTCTGCAAGTTCTCACTCCTCCCAGCATTCAAGGCAGCAAAAATTCCCTCTTCACTTTTTACTGCACACACAGGAAACACAGTAAAAGGGGAAATTTTGATCCATAATGTCACATCAAGGGTAACAGAAGTGCTTCTGAGTCATTTGCTATTTAAGTAAGAAATGAACAGGGCTGTGGAACAAGGAGGATTCTTCTCTGAGAAAGGGCAGGTTTTCTCCTCAGCCTCAGTCTGTGCACACTCCTCTCCTCTCCTCCCAGCAGTGAAAATGGCCTGAGCTCATTTGTGGGGCAGGAGAAGCAAAGCTGAGATCCCTGAGGGTCCCTGTGCAGGGCTGGGCAGAGCAGGACAAGGAGAGGAGGTGCAGTGTGACAACCCCAGAGCACAGAGCAGTGACTCACATGCAGAGCAGCACAGCCCAGTTTCACCCATTGGAAACATCACAGCTTTGGTTTCCATGAGTCCCTGCTGTGTCCCTCAGCAGCCAGAGCAGAGCTGTTCAGAGCTGCTCAGCCTCCCTGGCAGGGAGCACCCCAAGAGCTGCCCTGCTTTCCCTGGCACCAGCCTGCAGCCCACAGCAAAGCCCCTCTGCTGGGCTTGGCCAGAGGCTGGCACAGCACGGCCTGTGCCCACAGTGCCCAGCACAGCAGGGCTGCAGCACCCTGGCCACTCCAGAGAGCACCACAGCCTCACAGGGTGCCTGGTGGCTCCTTGGGGCTCCCTGCACTCTGCTTCTGCCACGGGGAGCCTCCAGCAGCGTGGGCATGGGGCAAAGGGACAGCAGCACACTCCAGCAGGATGCAGCACAGCCTCTCACCACCCCTCCTGCTGTTCTGGCATTCCTCAGCCTTTCCTGCCCCAGCCACACTGCTTTGTGCCCTCTGCCTGGTGTCCCTGTCCCCTCTGTCCCACAGAGGCAGCAGCAGGACCCTGTTTGGGATGAAGCACAGTGCCAGGAGCACACAGAGCTGTGTTCCTCCCCTCTGCTCTGCCAGCTCTCCCTGTGGCTCCTGCAGCAGCCCTGTGCCCTGCCTAGGCCATGCCCAGGGCAGCAGGGACACACAGCTCCCTCCTGGCAGCAGCACAAGCCATTCCCCACCTCTGGCCAGGCTGAGCAGCTCCTCCCCAGAGACAGGAGGGGCACTGCCCCATCCTGAGGGGCTCTGCTCCCCAGCTGTGGCCAAAGCCATTGTCCCTCCCTGTCACACCATGCCCAAGATGTGTCCTTGCCCCACACACAGCTCAGCAAGGCTGAGGCAGGAGCCCCCATTTGCTCAGATTCAGAGCCCAGCTCCTGGTGAGGGTTTCTGCTGTCACACTGGGGTGTTATTCACACACAGCAGTCAAACTCCTCGTGCCAATGCAGTGAAACCCAGCAGCTCTGGCTCCACACCCTGGAAAGGGAGCACTGGCCCTGGCTGCACTGGAAAATGTCAGTACTGCTCCTAAGAGGGCACAGAGGGGAGTGTGGTGCCCACTGCACTCCTTGGCATGGCCAGTGGCCAAAGGACAGAAGTCACAAGTCCATTTCCAAATGGATGGGACTGTGGCTGTCTCCCTTCAGGGCAGAAGGTCCTCGAGGTGCATTACTCAGATAATGGATTGTATGGCCAGAGGAGATGTGGGTGTGGGCAGAATAGCACTGAGACAACATTTTGACCAGCACAGATTTCCCTAGAGGCCCTCTCAGAATAGCTCTGTCTCCAATGGGAAGCACAGCCTGAGGAGAGGGACACATAGCCTGGGAATCCTGAGGAACAATTTGCCATAGACAACTTTTGTGGCCACAGTCTGGCTGAATTATTGTCCCTCCTTCTCTCCAGCCAGACAGGGAAAGCAGCTCTCCTCTGCTCCACAAGGTGCTCAGAAAAGGTGGAGAATATGACAACTGAGGCTCATACAAGAACCTTATTCAGCTTTAAACAGTGCTGTACCAAGAGCATCATCTACGCACAGCCTGCATTTAACATGGGACTCCTGTGTTCACCTGCAGGTGCTCAGAGGGCAGAATTTTACACAACTTGGAAAATGCCTTTTGCTGTCCCAGGCCTATGCATGGGGACAGCACTGGGATTTAGGAAATAATCTGATCTGCTCTAACAGCCCAAAATGGAAATGTCCAGTGGGTCAGGGCCTGTTTTCCACTGCTGTGGTGCCCACAGTTTATCCTAGTATCACTCCAAGTAAGCCAATAGGTCACTAACATAGACACTGTGTGAGCCACACCCTGAACATTCAAGCTGATATTCAACATTTTGCTTCATGCCATATGTAGTTCAGAGAAAAACTGCACGTTGTGCAGCTCTTGGCCTCACTGGTTTGAATTTAAACTGTGTCAACCTCAGCTCTGAATTTCCTGCGTAGCAAATGTTAAGAGAGTCATCAATCCTGTTCTCACTTTCAGCAAGAACAAGCATGAACCCAGCTTTGTTGAGGCACCATGCATTAATGGTTCATCCCAAGCCACACTGCTGAGCCTGCCTGTCCTCATCCGCTTTTAGAGGTGCTGATGAAGCAACGGGGCAGAGCTCTACAAACTTCTGCTTGGCGCCCTTCAGTTACAGAAACCATGGGCAGTCTCCAATTCAGGGACCCATGAGGTATCCTTTGGTACCCAAAAGGTATTATCTGGAAAGGAATCAAAATTCTGTTCACCAAAATATTTATATTAGCTGAGAAAGCCAAACTCTGCCAAGAAGGGAGCTGGCCAGCTTCCCTGGAGTGTCTCTGCCAGTGTGTAAAACACAGCCCCACCTACCACAGCCCCTCTGTGCTTGCCCAGGGCTGGTTCAGCTTTTAAGTTCAGTGCCAACTATTTGTAAGGCCTCAGAAATCTGGAGACTTTGGAGCGCAGCAGCCGAATGAAGGATCTCGGGAACATCTCTCTGGACTCCTGGGCTGTGTACTTGAAGTAGTTCTGTGGGTGTGCCAGCACGTCAAACAGGGCTTTTATCAGCTTCTTGTCCTGGGAAAAGGGAAGCAGATTTTATATCAGCTCCACAGAGGAGTTATGGTCAGTATAACCAAAGTTTAATGCCTGTCTAACTCTAAAAAGATTATGGGAGATTTTACTTTTCAAGTGTTTAAAGGGTTTGGAAGCATAGCAGAGCAAGGCTGACTTTCAGGCTCCTGGAAAGTCACTGGTGTTCCAAATTAGCAGCTCCAGAAATTCTTCCCTCCTCATACATCCAAGAACAGCAAACAAACCACAAAATGAACACACACTTGAGCTGATATCCAGCAAAACAAAGGCATGCACTCAACTTGCCCATGGAAGTCCCCTAACCAAGGTCGGAGAAATCCACAAAGAGGTTTCTTTTGCCCAGGGAGGAAAGGCCTTTGCTAACCTACAGGAGTACAAGGAGTGCATCCAGTGCTTTCCCAATAAATTTCCAGTTTCCCTGGCAGCTCTGATCCACCTTCAGTCCCCCTGAGCAAAGGGTCCCCTATCCCCTGCTCTGCACAGCCAGGATCTGCTGGGTCACCCCATTTCCCTGGAGCAGCTCATGCCTGGTGCACCAAGGAACAGCCCTGATGCAGAGCAGGAAGCAAACTCACTTGCACCAAATAATGTGATTTCCAATCAAAACCAACATGTTCAGTGGAAGGAATGTACCTTAAGTATTTCCTGGTGATTTTCAGATGCATAAAGTCTGCCATCCCGAACAATGTCCTCTATGAGCTCCTGGTAATCCTCTGTGGGGAATGCACAAGAGAGTCATTTGCAGCTTCACTTCACTTACAGACTCAGTACCACCTGTGGTTACACATGGAAGCTCTGCCTCAGAAAAGCCAGTAGTACTTGACATATTAGTAGTAAGAAAATACTTCTAACACTTTTCTTTTTATTATGATAACAGTGTACTCTGCTGAGCTGCTCAGCACCAATCTGTCAAAAGCAAAGGAAATCAAAGCACCCAAAATTGGAGTGCATGTGGTAACCAAGTAACCTGCTTCAAACCAACTGAACTGCAGGGACCCATCTGTACACACCCACAACCTGGTTATTGACTTCTTTCTACAGGAAGAAGGAATAAAAAGATTATGTAAGAGGATGCTTTCTTAAAAGTATATATCATAACCTGAAATTCTTCAAAAGGAGAGGTCTCCCCTGAAAAATTACTTTTCCACCACTAGTGAAACTCTGCAGACCACAGCAGGGATGGCTCCCTCACAATTAATCCAGTGTGAGCAGAACATACAATATCACCTCACTTATGCTGAAGTGCAAATCCTCAGCTCCAGTTTCACACCTCGTGATTCTGACAAGGCTGAGGTGAAAATCTTTCCCCTCAAGCCTCTTTTCAATATGGGTATTTTGCTACCAGATTCTAGGCCACAAATGGTAGCAGGAACACCATAAAACACAGGTACTTGGGCTCTACCTAATTCCTAACTGGGGCCACCCAAAGAAGATGGAAAGGCACAGAAGTGCATGAAACTTAGATTCTATGTCTGAGCTCTGTAATTTGCAGGCCAGAGCCCAGAACCCCAGCTTTTTGTTTGGAAGAACTGGTGGCACTTAAAAGACTGCAGTGCACTGCAGAATTCCTTAGATTAGGTTTAAATGGACCAGCTCCTGGAAGCAGCTCCTGGAAGCAGCTCCTGGTGACACGGCTGGGCTGCCCTGCTGCTTAGGGAGAGGAACTCTGCACTGCTGCAGCTGCACCACACCAGCCCAGCTGCTCGCTCCCACTCACCATCATAGGTCACATAAGGGACTTGGAATCCTTTGGCACTGTTCCCTTCATTGGACTTGAACTGGATCCAGAGCTTCTTGGACCTGGAGGTGAAGGCTATGGGGCGCTCGTAGGTCTGGCAGGTCTCGTACGTGGTCACCGAGTTGGAAGAAGCTTTCAAAGCAAAAGCACAACAGGCAGCTGTGGGACAATGCTTCCTCCTAAAGGGCTGTTAGAGCTGTTTTCTGTTACCACCAGAAAAATGCTTGCTGGTGTTAAGAAAACTCCTCAAAATGTGGCAGGCCATCAGTGGATGGCAGGCCCTCAATGAGGGACTTCTTGGTGAGGGAATATTTTCCTTTTTCCTAAAATAACAGTCTACTGTTTGAAGGACGTGCCTACACTAGAAACTGAGGTTGTTTATCCACACATCAGGCACCTGTAAGGATTAGCAAGCATTTCCTCTTTCCTAACCCAGGCTAGAACTGCTTAGCATGATGCATGACTGGTTAGCTTGAACCATCTACCCCTTCTTAACAATATTTCTCTCAGTTCACTGGCACATCATGGCCTTGTACCCTCTGAATTTCACTGAAACCTATGGGGCAGCATTGCCAAATAGGACTTCTTCATTTGCCTTTTAAAGAAATTTCTGCTTTTAAGTAGATGCCAGGCAGGCTACATTGAGTTTCTGCAAACAGCAATGCCTGTGTTTCACGCTGTGTTTCCCCCTGAGCTGTGCCCCAGTGGGTGTTCCAGACTCACAGCTTTTCCTCATCACCAGGTAGTCTCCACACTCGTCCTCGATGGGCAGGAATATTTCCGGGACCACGATGAGGATGCGGCGCTTGGGCGGCGGGTTGATGCTCCAGGTGCACTCGGTGTTGGCAGGGTAGTCCCCAGGGTAGTTGGGTGATTCAATGTACCCAGTGTAATCTCCCAGCTCCCCTCCACACTGCCTGTCTGGAAAAGGAGCACACAGTGCAGGACAAGGCAAAGAGAGGCCGCCCTGCAGCCCTCCTGCAGCCACGGGGGGCAGACACACAATTTCCCTTTTTGCACCTGCTGCAGGCACAGCTCTCCTTGCCAGCCTCTCACATCCCTGTGTGGGTGTGTTTACAATGTGTGTGTGCAGGCACTCCAGAGCTGGTTCTGAGCAGTCACCTCTCTGCCCTCCATTCTCCCTCCTTAATTTACCCGGAACTACCACAAATCCAGAGCAGAGGCTCCCTTTGTCATGGACTCTTTCAAAGGTTGTTATTAACAAGAAATGGTTACTAGAGCTATTAAGTTCTGTGAGCCAGCTTCCATTCCTCTTCATAGGAGAGAACAAATCAGGGTGCTGAGGACACAAACTCTGCTCTATCAAGAGAGCAAAGATTTAATAGCAGGACCCCGAGGAACCCAGCACCAAGTGGCAAAACACAGCCATCCCTTACCTTGACAGGGCTGATGGAACCAATCTGCAGAAATGGTGTCTCACAGACCTCATGTGGGGTGAGATGCAGGCAGCTAAAAAGGAGCAAGCTCTGCCTTCCCTCCAGCTCCCTGGAGCAAAGCTGAGTTTTGCCCTTAGGGCCACCCCAAACATTAATGGCCCAGTCTTTTTATTTGTAAGAGAGCATCAAAACCATCTTGCTGTACTTACTTTTGCACTGTGTTATGTTTGTAGAGCCATCAAAATCAGTAGTGGTGTTTCCAGGGCAGGCAATGCAGTAATTTTGTCCAAACTCAGGCTGGTATGTCCCGATTGCACAGCGAATACATCGGTGAGTTGAGGTGTTGTAAAAATGGCCAGGAGAACACTGAACTGGACAGTAATCAGATAATCATGGTTTAAAAGTGGCAGCAGCATACTAGAATATGCTTTTATACATTTGTGCAAGACCTAGTGTCATCTCAGAAACTGAAATACCCTATTAGTAAACTGTGGGGGTAACAAAAAACAGGTAATTAAGCAAATTTTAGTTCATCAAGTCATTCTGTGCAGGTTCAAAATTCCCAAATGAACACTGTAGAGTGGTTCTGTGTGAAAGCAGCAATAAAACCACAGTAATAAATAATGAGAGAAACAAAACAATTTCAGTTTATCAGGTTATTTTGTACTAGTTGTAAAGATCTACTAGCAAATGTACTTTTCTATGCTGCACAGTGCCTTTTTTTTCCTATTCATTTTAAGCTCTGCTTACTCCCAAATAATTCTTGCTGAGTTTTGGAAGCCAGCTCAGCCAGGAGTCCTTCCCTACATGCTGCCCCAATCCAAATGCTTCAGATAAGCTCCAAATAGTTCTTGCATCTGTGATTCCACGTCTCATGTGGCCTCTTCCACATGCAAATTCCTGAGCTCTTCATTCCAGTTAATAGAAAGAATTCCTTTAATCTCCACTCCAATTTGAAAATTGAACCTCATTTATAGCCTTGTTTTTGTTTATGTTAAATGAAACTGAAATCAGGTCCTCTTATCTTGATCCAGAGTTTTAACATCATTTTTTAGTACTTCAATTTCACAAAATTAAGTATGAAAAAGCAGTCTTTGTGGGTTCAGTGGTTCTACACTGAAGGAAAGTATTAGATATCGCACTACTACCAGCAATATTAATTCTTCAATGATACCGCTAAATTCTTACAATATGTTGTAATTCTCAGTAAACATAACTGAAATGAGAGATCTCTTAATCCAAACCACTACCAAATGTTTGCATCAGGACCTTATTTCTACCCCTTATTTCTGTGTACTTAAAGTAGTTCTGTGGGTGTGCTGAAAATCTACTCTGCAGCAGTAGATTTTCTGTTAAAGACTTTGTCCTCTAGTGATTTATATAAGCAATTTTCTTTTACCCATGCTTTTGGTAACCAGTTTTAGAAAGAATTGAAACTGAATTTCCTCACAGCCAGGCCAGGCCATCTTGCTGTGAGAGTCCTGCAAGGACTGACCCTCAGAAGGAGAAAGAGCCTTCTCTGAATGCCCCACCTGAGCAGCAGCATTTCCTTTTGCCTGGGATCAGTGCAGTTCAGACAAAGCTGGCTCACCTTTGGTCTCACAGTCCTGGAACAGGGCTGCCCCGCTGTGCCGGGTGGTGAGGGCTCCTCCACAGGGAAAGCAGGACACCCTGCCAGCCTCGGGCTGGAACGTACCCAGGGGACAGGGCAGGCAGGGCTTGAAGCCATCAGCAGAGTATTCACCAGGGGGGCACTGATCTAGGATGGGAGAGCAGCATTAGACATGAAGGAGTGTTGGAGAGCCTGCACAGGACCCACAGCCCCACGGGGAAGCTGCTCTGCTTTGCTGGGGCAGCTGGAGCAGGGATCCAGAAAGGAATGCTGGCAGCACCTGGAGCTTCACACCCCCAATGTGCACTGTGACAGCCTTTGGGGCTGGGGAGCTCTTCGGGGACCTGGGATGGATTTCACACCTTGTGCAAGGCCACACTGGACACCCAGCCTGTCCAGGGCTCTCTGCTCCTCTGAACAGTGCAACGATGGAGTGATTATCTCCTCATTCTAGCTAGAGAGCTCTTGAACTCCTTCCAAAGGAAATAATTTAGTATTGAACATGAGATGCCAAAAACATACTTCCAGATTTCTGTTCAATCTTATTATTGAACATTCATATCTCATGACCATTAGTATTACTAATTGTGTGAAAACTCAAGTGTAACAAGTAATTGTGCAAATTCAGTAAACCAAACATTATGCTCCAAAGACTTTTAAAGCAGAAATACTCTTGTCATTCCTTTGATAATCTTGGGTAATGGTTATCTGTGCACTGGGCTGCTGTGTTCTGTAGGTTGCACAGACAGCACTAACCCAATCTAACTGATTTTCCTTCATCACACACCTCAGTATTATCCAGCAAGCCCAGCAATATTCATGAGTATCTTTCAGAAGTTCTGGTTTTCAAGCTCTTCACAAAAGAACTGGCTTCAGTGCCAGCATTTAATAATTACCCTGCTCTGGAAAGGCACAAAACACTGTTGCAGTTGTTCAGCTGTGCTGAAAAACTCTGTCCTTTTAAGACCTGTTACGATAATAAACTGTTAGTTTTAGTTTATGGCTCCAATAAATCACTCAGTGAATAGCTGTTTTGTTAGGGAGTTAAATTGGCCTTGGCTTCATTTCAGGATGTATGAGTAACAACAAGCAGAGCATTAACTACCGGTCACGATCAATGATGAAGAGTTTTGTTTGTGGCTGATACACCCGGAGGAATCGCTGGGTGCTCCTCCTTGGCTTAAAAATAAAATGCAGCAGGTTAAGCAATGCTCTGTGGCTTATCAATGAGAGCTTGTGAGAAACTCTGAGCTCCTGGTTCTAACTTTTTCCACCACCCATCACTCCTGCCCTCATAAGGACACACATTCATTTGCTCCCACACTTTTCAAGCCTTTCTCCATTTTATAAACATTCCTACAGAACACTCATCTCTGTACAATTTGTGCACTTCCACAAACATGAATGAATTCAGGCTTTCATTGCAGCACTCCTAATAAGGTAAGGAAAGAGCACTATTTACAATTCCATGACAAGGAAAGACAATTCAGGGTTAAGAAAGGTGATCCTGAGAAGTGCCTACTGACTTCAGAAACCTGGAGGAAATGGAAAGACCTGAGCAAATCTCCTTCCCTCATACAACTCCATGGCTCTATGGGAAATCAATGCTCTGAGTGGCCTGGCTAGAAGATATCAGCTTGTCGTTTTCCATTCATTTTAATTACATGTCAAGTTTGGGGTGGTTTGGGGTTTTTTAGGCTGTTTTTTGTTTTTGCATTTGGGAGAAGGGGTGTCTCCGTTCTGTGTTTTGAACAGAAACACTGACCCTACAAATTCAGGCTTAAAACTGTACTTCAGGTTTCCTGAACTTGCTCAGAGTCCAGCAGAACATCCATCAGAGCTCAAAGGAATCCTGACCCAGGCAGGAATCAAACCCATAACTTCTGTGCAAATGTTGCATTTGAGAACTTATCCCATCAGATCTCTCTTGACAACGTTGCCGTCTGCATCTTACTTGTCTTGAAACCACATGTTGGGAAAATTGTGGAGCTCCCTGTGGAATACAACTGAGTTAATCTAAATCATCTTGGGTTATTTAGCAAAGTGCCTCATTTTTGAAAATTTGCACTGCAGAAGTAAACTTAAAAAAAAAAAACCTCCTCAGACATCACTGAGATCCTCAATCTGGGCCAAAGGAGAACTTGTCCATTAAATCTGAACCATTTCAGTCAAGTGTTTCCTTCTGATTTTCCTAAGAGAAAGAAAAAAGGCTGTCTAGCTACCACCACTGCACCATTGTAACAGGGTGTTCAAAGCTGAAAAAAGCTCTGACTTCTGAGACACACCAAACACTTCAGGCTTTGATTGATCCTCTGTGCATTTGAGAAAAGAGGTCAGTACACCCACATACAGATTTTGCTATTTACAACCAAGCAAGTACTCAATATTCAATGCAAATATTGGAATTACTCCATGCCATGTCCAAGTTTTAATGCCTCAAACTCACAAATATTTCTGTTTCTTCAAATGACTACATCAAATCAAGCTTTTCACAGTGGGACAAGTGTCCAGACAGTTAGATCCATAAACACATTCCCTGTAAACTGCTCCCAGCTCCTCCTCATCCTCCACCTAGAAATGTTTCCCTCATCCAGCCCCAGTGGAGCACAGAGCTGGGGGAGTGAGGAAAGGCTGTTTAGGAGCTCACAGCAGTCACAGGGGCCCAATTTAGCATAACAAATAAGACTTAGTGTTAGATTCAATTATAGTAACATTAATAATAGGGGTGTTATTTCAACACAGAAATCATCCAAACTCTACAGGACTGTGCATAAAATTAGGATGAACCTTCTCTTAAAAAGAAGCCCAACAAAATTAACAAAAAAAACAAAAAAAATCCACAAGAAACACCTCTATGAAGTTAAACTTCTCCAGATATTCGCTTAAAGGAAACAAGTACAGAAGTTTGTGAACTTCACTTCTCAAAATTAGAAACTGCATGTTCCCACCTGCCATGTGGGAAATACCCAGTCAAAACCAGATCTGAAGATTTGCAAATAATGACATTAAATCACAATTCCACTGGCTGGCTTTGCTCTTTTTTTTCCAGAAACTTGATTGTTTTTTCTCCAAATGAACAAAAGAACCAATTGCCTCTGGTAGACTTCATTTCTGCAGCAACTGTCTTTGTTTATCTTCAATGCCCATTAAAAACCTGGTCTTGAGTCTCATGCAGCTGTTTTAAAGGGGGGAAAAAAGTGAAAGCTTTTCTGATGCAAAAACAAGAAGAAAAGGGGGGGTGGGGGGGAAGAGAGGGGCCCACAGGGAACCAGGATTAACAGTTACAAAGACATTTAAAGGCTCTTCCCCTCTTTTCAGCACATTAGCCTTTGAGCATTTGCTCCTATAGACAAGTGCTGTAGTATCTCAGGGGCTGAGAAGGTGAACCTCATAAAGGAGGTCATGATCCACCAATTCACTATTTTCTTAAGAATGATGCCTTGACTTTATAAGGAAAATCACCAACAAGTGATGCAAATTGATTCTGAAGCGGCATCCTTTAAGTTATTGTGTTTGAGCAGGTCACACATTTAGGTCACATGAGATGGTTTCGCATCCCAAGGATTTATGTCTTCAGTCTATGATTTTCAGGGCAAGCAGGTTAGCAGGAAAAATAGCCCCATTTTCCCTCCATTTGATAAATTCATTTCTTCTTCTTGGATTTTCACAAAATTGTAAAAAAAGACACAAAAAAACAACAGTTGTGCAACACAACTATTAGTTATAACGACTGCAAAGGCAGGCAGCACTTTGATTTTCCTTTTAGATACCTCTCTCATACTCTTATAATGCCAATATCAAACCACACACAAACATTTGAGACGTGGTTCGTCATTTTGGATGAAATGCAATTATCTTATTTGCATCCTCTCAGCCGAGGGGACAAAGCTGCTAAATGCTGAGCAATGAAATGCACTGACACCTCCCACACAAGATGAAGCTGCTCATCATCCCCATCCTGTGCCAGTGCTGCTCATGCCTGCTGCTCTCTGAGGTGACAGCCCTTTGGGGAAACCCACTTGCAACTGCTGTGGAGCAAAGATATGCTGTCATATCCTTTTTTTGCATCCATTTCAGGAAATGGTGATTCTCAGAGCCTCCTTCCACCTCTGAAAGTATTGGTGTGACCAATAAAAAAAAAAAAAAAGACACGCCAAAAAAAAACCAACCAAAAACCACAAAAACAAAAGTATAGAACAGGCAAGGTGTACTTTTAACACCATGGGATGTGATCATAGTATGACAGAGTTTTAAGCAGTGCAAGAGCAGCTAGATTGCTTGTTGTTCGAACTTATTTTCTTTCAATACAGAGGTTTCTGGTAAACCACTTTCTGAAAAGGAACTGGTAGTGTTTAAACACTTGGTCTTTGTTTGTTAAATCTCTCTGAAGTCAAGCTCATACTGGAGAAGGAGCTCTTGTAGCCAGGCTAGTGAGTGAGACTGCATCCTCCCCAAGACAAATCTCCTCTCAAGGCAGCATGCAGCATTTCCAGCATGCTCAGAGGGCTCACACACAGGCTGGATGCACTGACATTCCAAAATGGATCTTTTTTACCTTAAGATCTACTTCAAGGCAGAAAAATCACACTTCTGCTAGGAGAATCCAGTTCTCTGGGAAGGCTGATCAAAGTTCCATGTTGCTACATGCGTTTCATGGGATATCCATGGTTATGGACCTATCACGGTTGCTCCTTGGAAGCCACACTCAGGACTTCATGGGATTAACCAACACGAGCCAGTGCCAAATGGGCTCATCATAGATACAGAACTCACACATAACAAGGCAGGAGAATGCACCATTTGAGCCTCTAAAGAATCAGAAAATCCCAAACAGAACTGTACAATGAACAGCAAAGTTGAAATAAACCACACTATCCTTTGCAATCATCAGTGAATTCCCTTTTACCACCAGCAGCTGTTTAAAGAACAGCAGGCACACAAGTGCCAGCATCCAGCATATTAACAATGATAAAATACCCTGGAAACCACATGCAATTTGTTCCTGGTGTCTTCCTAATGCTTTTCTTCTGCACTGTGCACCACTCAAGACTGTAGGAGTTAAGACAGGAAAATCAGGGATAGAACTACCTCACCAGAGGTGTGAAACCAAATGAAATTTATCTTGCTGCTGCAATTGCAGGCCAGTCACCCAGCACAAAAATTGTCAGAGCAGGAGTTGGCCTCTCCCTCTGATGCTGCTCAAATATAAATAATGTTTCAGACAGTGCTGTGCCAGGGGAATTCTACCACAGGACCCAAACTGTACCTAACCTAGCCATACTCCAAGTATTTTAAATCAATGAACCAAAACCTGCATTTTACTCAGTAACTGCATCGAAGAAGACTTGTAAGTCCCTTTGGCTTGCTTTGTTCCCTCACTGCTTCCTACACCCCAGGCCAGTCTGAGCCAAAGTCCTTTGCTGTGCAGAGGCCCCATCCACCACCTGCCCTGGGTCCATCTCCTGGCCAGTATCTCCTGCTGTGCAGCCTCTTTCTCCCCAGAACCACCAGCCTGTCTAGGCAAGCAGACCCCAATCCCATCCAGAAGCAGCTCTGCAAAGCAATCAGATCAAAACAAAGGAAAAAAACCCAAAGTCCCTCTCCCACACAGATCCCTGAACCAGCTTCTTGCCTTCCTCCACACTATTCCCACTCTATTCTCCTCTGCCCAGCCTGTTTCTTAGCTCCTTCTGCCTGGCAGCCCAAGCAGCAGCAGCCCCCAGTCCCACCTTAGCCATTCACCCTGGGACAATCAGCTTTTCCAGGGAAATGAGGCATTCCTAACAACTCTGTATTTTATGTCCTCTCAGCAACTGGGAGCTGGCTGCCCAGCTCCAGCAGCCTGACAAGTGGTGCAGGGAGGTGTCCAAGATGCTAATTTTCTGTACATTTAGTGAAAATAAGCAGGGGAACAAGTGCAAGGAGAGAGCCCTCACATCTGTGTAAGGGAAAGGCTGTGGGGTGAGTTCCACCTCCTGTTTGATCCCAGGGAATCTCCACAAGGATTTGGTCTGAGCGACTCGGCTGCACAAAGGGAGGTTCACTGAGGCATTGCGCCTTGTCAGGCATGAGCAAACCCAACCTTTAGGCATGAGACACACAGGGCCATTCCAGCGCTCACAGCAGCCCTGTTGGGGTGCCCAGAACAAACTGAGGCACCAATTCAGCAACAGAAGAGCCCTGACTTGTACAAATTGTTCTCCAGAACCTTTGTCTTCACATGCTCAGTGGCTCTGCTTTGACCATGGGCAGGCTGATTGTGCTCACCCCACCAAAGAGCTTTCTGGGCAGGCATTGCCCAAAATTCCCTTTTCTCTCTGAACTAGCACAGAAATGCCACGTATGCTTCTCGTTTGTGCTGCGACATTAAACTGATTCTGCAGCTATCTAAAAAAAATTGTGTTTCTTTCCTGTTCCAATTTCTAATTGTAATCCACATTGCCTTCTCCACCTGCAACATTTTTAGCTTGCTCATCGCTGTTTTTTCCAGATGAAATCACAAATATCTTCAGAGTCATACTGTGCTCTGCACAATTGGAATGACGGATTTCTTCAAAGCCTTCCTCTAGCATCCAACAAAATAGCTTGAAAATATCCTCATAAACTCATCTTGGTGAACTTTCCAACATTTTTCAGATTTATTGCAATGTTCCAAGAAAAAAAAAAAGAACTCTTAGAGCTTTTTCCGAGATTTCCTGAGTAATTCCCTGCTTGCTTGCACAGATGTTTTAAACAATTTGTCTGTTCTATGAACCCAAGTTTTTCTAGAGTTAGCAAAAGTGGATTGGAAAATCTATTCTTAGGCTAAATGCTGCTGCTGGAAGACATACTAATTCACTGTGACAAGCATTTTAAAGGCTTGCTGATTCACAATCCACCTACAGGCTGCCTGCCCCGTGCAGCCTGAATTGACTGTCATGGTTGTTAGACCCCTGTGAGGATGTAACATCTGACCCCTCTCCTTAACTTTTGTGCTTTGGAAGCACTTACCATGGGCTGCATTATGGTGGTGCCCTCCAGTGCCATGATAATTAAGACTTTTCTCAGTGATGGCCAATAAAATCCCCATGAATTTCTAATTCTGTCATGAACATTCTCTGGGACTCTGAGCTCAATCAGCAAAGTGAGTGTGACTGTATCAAATTCTGAGCAGCATTTTCCTTGGGATGAGGGAGAGGTGAGCTGTGCACAATCTCAGGAACACAACATTACCAAATTACTACTAAATTATTACTAAATTACTAAAGCATACTAAATGTAGTCTTAAAAGTAACATAGGTGATGTCAAGGCCATTGGTGCCTGATGTTATTCCCAGGATTTCCGCCTTTGAGCTTATTGCAGGCTGTGCCTCAGCTGTAGTGCAGTGCAGTGAGCCCTTGCTCTGCTCTGTAACACTTCAATTGCCAACAATACATTCACAAAGAGAATTCCAGCAGCACCTCCACTTCTGCACGCCCAGCCCTGCTCTCTCCTGGATGGGTGAACCCCGATTCCTCGATGTCCGAGCAAAGCAGGGAACACATGAGGCGCTCCATCATGCCCAGCTCCCTCCCAACTCACCACATCTGAGCCCCGGGTGCAGCTGTCCCCCACCACAGGCCTGCTGCGGCTCTGAGGGCCTGGGAGCCCTCCTGGCCACCTCGTGGTCGGCGCCCGAGAGGCGGATGCGGAACTGGTCCCTGCTGACAGTCTTGCGCAGGGTGCGGATGGTTTTCCGGAACCGCTTCTCCGTCTTCTTGCGGGCACAGCGCACGTCGCACGTGTCTGAAAAGCACCGGGGGTGAAAGCTGCCCTGAGTGACTGTGCACAGGTCCCACCCAATTCCAATCACCAGCCAACTCAAACCACTGAGACAGCCACCTCTGGGAACAAGTGTGACATCCTCAAGGACAAATACACTGGGCAGCTCTTGGGTCTTTGGAGCTACCCCCATGCCTCACTCTTTCTGAAGCAGTGAAATAATGTTCAAAACAGGAGATACTTTTTATCATCATTTTGCATACAGACAGAAGCGAAAAATACAGGAATTAAGGAGCAAATGGCAAGAAGCTTCAAAGCGCACCTGGAATTATTTCCCAACCAACCTGTCACCTCCTTCCGGCTCGTCTCAAGCTCAAAGTCCGCGGTGATAAAAATCTCTCTGGTCGCTGCCAGTCTACTGAGGGCTCCAGGGACTTTCTTGCCAGAGCTGCATGTTAGGTTTACATAGTGGAAGCTCTCCATTACTGAATTTTGTCTCTCTGCACAAACAAAATCAAAGGAAGCAAAAGCTTGGCCAGGCCTGCTATTGAACATTCACCAGTGGATCATCATGAAGAGTTAAAGAGGAGCAAACCATCACCTCCACTGCCCAGTGAAAGAGCAGTTTGGCCAGGCTCTCACCTGGTGCACCCTCACACAGTCATGACCATTCTCATGGCTTCAATGAGGAAATAAGGTTTAGGTAAAGGAAACACCCAAAATAAGCTCTGGTTCTGGAGTACATAACTTGTCACTGAGCATTCAGCACAGTTCCTCACTGTTACTCTGCTAAGGACAAACAGTCAGACACACTGATTCATCATATCGTTTAATGACTCCTTTCCGCATTTTTTTCTTTTATTTTTTAAAGTACTCCTACTAATTTTCTGTTGACTTTGTAAATTCCCAGCCTATTCTTTCTGCTTTGGAGCAGATGGAAGAGCTGATCCCACTGCATCCATCTGGGGCTGCTGAAGAGTGAAAGCAAGACAAGAGACAAGAGGAATAACCCTATGACAATAGAGTCAGCATAAAGGTCAGGAGATTTTTCAACGAGGCATCAGACAGCAAGGAGCAGGTGAGAAAGGAAAGAAGATAAAGATAAAAAGAGGAAGAAAAGGAAGGAATCAAACTGACAAAAAAAATGGTTGATTTTGCTGAGAATTTATCAGCAATATTACAAACAAAAAAAAACAATAAGGCCTTTCCTAGCAAGACTGTGAGGATGGCACAAGGAAATCCTGGGATCTGAAATAACTGTTGCAAGAGTCATGGCCAGGCAGGAAGAAGTGAAGAACAGAAAACCTTCAGTCCTCTATGCTTTGCTTCATATGGAAGCATTCATATGGAAGGTGGTATACTTCATATCTGGAAAGCACTTAACCCCTGAGCTTTGGCTCTAACCTGCTTACCTGCATTTTTATATCCATACCTGGTATCATCTGCTCCAGACCTTCTTGAAACATCTCAGTCTTTTTCAAACTACATTTTCCTTCATTTAATTTAAAGGTTACGCTTATCTTGATGGCTGAAGCATCTTCAGGAAGAAACAACGAAACACATTATTTTTAAAAAAGGAGTAGAAAATTGAGATAGCCGTAATGTACACCACAATGATGACTAAAGAAAATATGCTGATATGAAGTGATCATCACAGAAAACCTAATGAGATGTCAGAACCCTCCTGCTGTGAAGCTGGTTCACAACTGGAATTGGAATGATGGGTAGCACATTTTATTAGGGGGGAAAAAAAGTGAGAGACAGAGAAAGACCAGATCTACTATTGGGTGAATTAAATAAGGGTGAGCTGAAATCAAAGGAGATACTCCAAATCATTTCAGAAAATAGTTTATGTCTATGGCTGTAAATGCCTTCTAAACTTTACAGTCCAACAGCTCTACCTAAACACGTTGTGTGTTGCCAACACTGTCCAGCTGTGGAAGATTAAAAAGAGACATAACTCCTGGCCTAAGTGTTTATTTCACTGCTGATCTTCTCTTTATTTTTAAGTCTCAGTTTGAATGATGCTGATGAAGCAGCATAAGGGGAATTTCCTGCAGCAATCATGAACTACAATCATGAGGAAGAGGAAGGAAAAGAGCAATAGATTATAAGAGGGGGGGGGAAAGTCAAGAGAAATACCTTTTTTTCACAGTTATCAATGAAAAGAAATCAGTCAAACTATGTAACAGTAAATGTGGTGATTACCCAGCCAGCTGGAAGCATTTGCACTTTGCTGCTTTTTCTTAAGCTGAGAGGACCTGCCACAGGTGAGGGTGTAGGCATCTTGTGTTCCTAACAGACAGACAGACAGACAGTAAAACACAGGCACAGTGCACACACTGAGGACTGCTGCAGCATAAAACAAATTGTGAATTCGTTGACTGGCATCAACACACAATGTTGTTCATAAAATACTCCACATTAGAGCTTGTCTCTTCCTAAGCCATTCAAAGGATTCAGGAAAAGAGCATCAGTGCCACAAGCAGCACTGAGTCCTGTGGGATGGAGGGGCTGTGTGGGCAAAATCCCAGACCCCACGCAGGGCTGGAATGCCTTGGCCCCATTCACCAGTGCCTCTCAGGGCCAATTAAGGAATGGCCCAGGGAGCACAGAGAATTCTCCCCTGTCCTCCCCAGCTTCAAAAAGAAACTTGTTGTGAGAAGGGAATCTGAGGGTGGAGTGTGGTTATAAAAGACAAGGAAAGAGGGGCTTTCCTGGACACTGCCAGGGATACAGCCCTTGATTATCTGCAGTGAAAGAGGAGAGATCTCTGTTTATTGACTGCTTCTTGGGGCTTTCCTGACAGGGAGGAGTTTGGCCTCCCCTGCACTGTGTACAGAACCACGTGCTCAGTTCTGTCAGCTCTGACTTACCAGAGAACACCTGCACATCTGGAGAGCAGCTCAAAAAGCATCTGTCACTCCCACCACTCTTGATGCAGTGCAGCAGCACCTTGGGTGACACACTATCAGACAAGGGATCTTTTGTCTCTGAGTAGGATAAAACAAACACTCACGGGATTAAAACATCCACCTTCACCCTACCAATAAATCAGCATGCAGCTGCTTTTGTAGCCAGCACCTGAGAGCACCCATGCAATTAATATGCTGTTCAGACAGAAAATTCAAGCCAAATAAAATCACTGGAAGATCACACCACAAAAGAAACTTCCTTTATCATGAGCAAGCCTTCTCATGCAGAGGAACAAAAGGAAATAGAAGAACGAGCTAGATAAAAGCACAGGAAGGAAAGCATCAAAATCCCTCAAAGTATCTCCTGTTTTTGGGGTTGGTTTGCTGTTTGTTTTCATGAGTTTCAACATCACTACCATCATGCGCTGCTAAAAATTAAAGCAGAATACCAGGAACAATGACTCACACCACTTAACGGGACAGACCATCAAATTTGACTGTAACCACATGGCCCACCAGACACATCAGGAGCAGAAATGTATTTATTAGACACCTTACCAACACAGTCCTTTTTATTCCAGTGCAGCTTGTAGTTAGGCTGGCACAGGCATTCATAATCTCCCAGTGTGTTCACACACAGCTGCTGGCAGCCACCATTGTTGATGCTACATTCATTAATATCTGCAGAGGAAAGGTAAAGGTGCTTTTAAAAAGTTGCTCTTCCCAAAGTTGTACACTGCAATTCCACCAGGTAAATGTGGACACAAAAACTGCTCAGTAAGTCTTGAAGAGACTTCAGGGATGCTGCCTGGACACCCACCTTGAAACAGTTTGTCTTCATGGAAATCCCTGGATAAATGTCAAAGCAGACCAGATACTGGTGGCTCATAATGAAACAATATCCAGCCTCAGTAATATGATAACAAATCAACTCTAAGAAAAGCAGATCAAGTCAAATCTCTGTTTCACTGTGTCTGGTTAATTAAAATTTCTAATTTTAAATAAAAACAGAGAACAGGGCAGGATTCACACTGACCAATGCTCCAAAGTGCTCTGACAGATGCAACCACTGTGGAACACTTTGGCTCTGTGGGCAAACACCACCTTTGTGTCCCCTTGTCTCTTTTGGCCAAATATCCAATTTTGGAGCCTTGTCCTGCCCAGGAAATGCCAAGAGGAGGAGAAATTACTGCCAGCACAGCACATGCTGCCTGTGGTGCACCCTTGCATGCTGCTGCAGGATGCAGCATTGAGCAGTGCTGCATGCAGGGTCAGCACTGGGGCCAATGCAATTTATCCTCCTCATTAAACCTGCATGGTGGGACAAGAGTTCACCCTCAGCAAGGTCACAGATGAGACAAAACTGGGAGGAGTGGCTGATGCACCAGATGGTTGTGCCACCATTCAGAGGGACCTTGACTGCCTGCAGGAATGGGTCAATGGGAATCTCATGAATTTCAACAAAGGGAAATGCAAAGGTCTCTGTCTTTGCTGCTCAGATGCACCCTGAGGAGGGCTTCCCTTCTCTCCCAGGGCTTTATGGCAACTGTACACAAACCCAGAAAGCTGCCATCAGGAAACCTGATCAAAGTCCCATCAAGTTTGTGCATCTGAGGGTACCTGCTTCCACACACACTTATTCAATGCTACTAAGTTCTTGTCACTGCTGTCCCCAGACTGGACACCCTCTAAGTGACAATTTGTTAGAAAACACTGTGAAACACATTACAAAACCAGTCTGATTTGGGGGAAATGTGCTTTTAACAGAACTGAGACAGCAGCGGAAGGAATGAGCAGCAGAGGAATAATGGAGAAAGAAGGCAACACCTTAAACTGGTACTGCTGCCTAAAATGTCACAAATCTTTGGTTTTCATTGACCTTTTCTTAGGATTCCAGCCTCTTATCTCCAACACTTACTGACTTCTCCCACAGAGGTCAGAAGGTGCTTTCTCAGTGTCCTATCAGCTCTGACCAGCCTGTGACTGCCAGTCAATGAGGGACTTACTGTGGTATGAGCATTAATTAACATCTTCTGCACAGGGGTATGACAAGAAAAGGCCAATTAGCAGCCAAAAGCAAAATTACAGCTCCTTTTCCTCACTGGTAGCCAAAAGAAATTGAATTAATGCAGAGGAATTAAACAGAAGATGTCTCTTACTAAGTAGAGCACATGACAGTGTTATTCCTTATCCAGGTAAGTTCCCATGTTTATCAGGATAAAACACAGTGATGTTGTAGCTCTGTAATCTTATTTGCAGAATTTCTAGACGCAGAGGGTAGAACAGACAGGCACACAGGGATTTCTGAATTGTTATCTCCAACTGTGCTCATTCTGCCTCAGAAATAAACAGGTCTTACTCAGAATTTAGTAAGCTTTGGACTCAGTAAGGTCTTGCCTAAAGCTTATATAAAACAAGCTTGATTCCATTTAGTGTCCCAGTTATTCTTGTTTCCTCATGTTAATTCTGGGAATTTGTCAAATGTCGAGCTTCTATGAACAACTTACTCTTTCCTTGTAGGAAAGACATAAAAATTTAAGAGTATTAATCTTGGCCAGTGTGAAGTGGCACTACATCAGCTAAATTCCAGCCTACATCACATGAGGACCTGACACGCGCACCTGCAGAATTGCAATTTTCAGAGTTTCCTGTTCAAGCCCTACTCCAGTGACTTTTCACTGAAGTCAATGATTCTTCTGCATGTGAACATTGAATTATGGACTTTAGATCCAAGCACAAAACCCATCAGTTTCTCCTAATAGCTACAGGCCCCTTTTGCATGCAGGGTGTGAAGGCAAAAATCGCTTGAGCAAAGCCAGGAATGAGCAGGATCGGTGTCTCCTTTTCATTATCACAGCAAGGGGCAACATTTCCTCCATAGGACACCAGGGTCTGCCTCGGTGTGCGTCCTGCAGGGCAGGGGGAGGCTGTGCCTGTGCCAGTGCTGTGTCTGTGACTCACCTCCACAGTGGGTGAAGCCATAGAGGGCATATCCCTTGTTGCAGGAGCACTGGAAGGCGCCGGGCTGGTTGGTGCACGTGTGGTCGCACGCGCGCTCGAAGGAGCACTCGTCGATGTCTGCAGGGGACAGAGGGACAAAGGGCACAGAGGGACATCAGCACCCCCCAGGCTGCCCAGGGAGCTCGGAGAGCCGGCAGCTGAAAACTCTCATTTCATTAGGATTACCCTACTTAGAAATTAAAAGTGTTGCCTCTGTTTTTTCCTCCCTAAATGAAGTTCTATTTGAATATACAGCGCCTGATTTAGGTCTGATGAAAATCACAGTGCTCCTTGAGAATGGACATTCATTATACCATCAAAAGCGCCTAAAATTTCTGTGCTGTACAGAAATTTTGCATGCCAGGTAAGAATGTTGTAAGACACATAAAAAAAGTTCACATCAACTTCACTAGCACTTTTCATCAGCCTTTTTTCTTGGGCTTTGGCATGAAGCATGATATCACTTGTGAAACAGCCTAGGGAAAGCAACAGAAGTGACAGGGACAAAAGGGAGATGGAAGGCTTTAAGATACAGTCATAAACAGATTTCATTTAAATAAAATCCAAAAAAATCTCAAAAATCAGATGTTTATACAGTAAGATTTTCCATATAAATAGTTGTCCTTCTTTGCCTATTTATAAGGGATAAGCATGCACAAAAAAACTCAGGTGAAAATTACTTTCTCTTGGTCAGTTCAGTTTTCTGAAATTCACCTTTAATGTCATCTGGTTGCCTAGGAAATCACATAATTCGCCATTTGGCTGACTCAATTGACATTGTTTCATCCTGTTGCTTTTCCACAAGCACAGACCATTTTGATCTTCACATTTTTTTGTACATTTAAGCAGCTTAAATAGAATTGCTAAATCTATATGTACAAACCACTATAGAGGAAAGCAAATATGCTTTGTGAGTCTCACAGGAAAATCCATGTCATCCTCCAAAGCAAATGCTCCGCGATGTTTTAGGGAACAGAGATTCCACTCTGTCTACAGACTGATAATTTCAGAGATCACATCATATCTTTCTCCTTTAATAATGAGCTCATGGCAACAAAATATCCTATTAAGAAACAATAGTTTCACTGCAATGGTGAATCAGTCAGGAAGATGGAGAGAGAGACATTGCCTAATTTTCCCTGGAAATTATTTTAAGATCATCAAGGCGGGGGGAAGCATTAACCTCATAGAGAGCTTTTTAATATGATGCTGTCTCTGTCCCTTCCAGAGAATAGCTCACTGTGCCATTAAACTTATCTCCTACAATAGCATCAAGCCAACTGTATTAACTCAACAGCTGTTTCAGAAGAAAAAAATCCAAACTGAGGAACAGAAATTATTCTGGAGTCCATTATCACTTCATCATTGTAGTAGATGTCCAAGCCACGCTGATTTGTCCTACTTTTGTTGTACCATTGTCTCTCCAGTGCACATACCTTGACAGGACTTCTCATCTGTTAATAATTTAAATCCTTTTCTGCAGCTGCAATCAAAACTGCCAACAGTGTTTTTACAGAAATGATCACAGCCTCCATTATTGGACTGGCATTCATCAATATCTGTAACAAACAAAAAAAAAAAAAAGGTTTCAGCAAATTAACACAGAGCTTCAGCACTCAACCTACTCCCACTGCCAGATTCAGAAAATAGTCACATCCAGTCAGCTGGAGGAGCCCAGAAACAAAATCTGGTGAGACTCCCACAAATTAAGGAAGGAAGGAAGATCAGATCCAACTCTTAAGAATGATCCAGCCCATTCAGCCCCAGGACAGTGTTATTTGCTCTCATTTAATGTATTCCTGCCAGTTGCAGTTGGGTAATGCATTCATAAAAGACCATTCCCTAAGTTATGTTTGGAAACACTTTGGCTCCAAGGTTCTCTAAGAGGTTTCAGTATTTTAAACATTCTCTCTGTTTCCTTTCTGTAAGCCCTGCAGAAATCTCAGGCAGAGACTTCCTGAACTACCCCATCCTTTTCATGGCAACATTAGAATGAGGCCTTTATCTAATATTAATTGACTCAGGCCTGGGGATTTCATCATTTTTACTTATCAGAACAGCCTTAACATCTAATTACTGGAAAAGCAATATAATATACAGCCTAAGCGTGCCTTTGCTGCTTGCCAGAGCTCTCATTAGAGCTGCTTGGAGCAGTGCATATTTATAAAACACATCCCTGTTTACACACTGGTATTTACTCACCAGCTCTCCTGGTGCCCAGCCAGGCTGTTGGGTACCTGTGAGCACCCACACCTGCCAGGGCTGACCTCTGTTTGCTGGTTCAGCTCTCCCAAACCCGACCTCTGGAAAACGAGGCACAGGAGGTGGAAGTGGAGAGCGGGAGGGCAGAGAAGAGGAGATTCTCTGCACATGATACACCTGGTGTGATGGAAAGCACAGCCTCTACCCCCGTGCAATCCTTCCTGCGGTCAGACTGCACATAGCAGCTTTCCTCTGGGCTGCCTCTGTTTGGAGATGTGTATCTTGCAGGGCCTGGGAACACCTAGCAGGGGTACAGAGCCCACCTTTGCACGTCTTGCCATCGAACTGGAGGGTGAAGCCCACGGGGCAGCTGCAGTGCACGCCGGTGGAGGTGTCCTTGCAGGTGCGGTCGCAGCCGCCGTTGTTCACCGCGCACGTCTCTGCAACGGGACACAGCTCAGGGAAACCACAGTGGCACCAGAAACGCCATGGGACACAAGGCACAGCCCCAACACACTGCTATTCAGCCCAGAACACACCGGCAACTGCTAAATACATGTGTTGGCAAAATCCCTGCCTCAGCTACTTCCAGGTTTTTTGTGGGAATCCTACAAACCAAAATGCTGCCTTCTGGGAATTCCACTTGTGTCTGAAACACAAATCCCTGCTCCTTGGTGATGAATCTGTTACTGCCAGTTAGGTTCCTTATGCCCACAGTGGATTCTGGCTGATCCCCTGACACTTCCCACCAATGAGACACCAGGTTACACTCAGCACTACTAAATGAGTTTTCTTGAATCCCTCCCAACTCCTCTTCCCTACTGCCTGTGCTCCCAGTCATGGTGGGTGACACCCCATGAGCATTCCCTCAGCCTGGGAGCCCAGGTGCCATTCCCACCAAAGTTTGTTCCTCTAACTTACTAACTATGCTTACTTACTATCCTTACAAACTCCCTGCTATGCAAACCATGCCTAAACCTCACCAAACCTTGATAGTGAGCACTCCTAAAACACAGTCCTTCACATCCAACCAAACAGAAATAATCACACTTTTTTAAATTCGTCCTCTTGTCATCAGTCTAACCACTTCAGTCAGTTTAACTGGCTGGACAAATACAATTTTACATGGCATGTATTGATTGAGAGAGCTGCAAAGTCTGCTTTTTGAAATCTACTTTCTAGCTCTGTATCCTCATTTTCTGCAGCATCAAGCATTTGCTACTTATTGCCAAGTTTTGAGAGCTTTACTGGCTTATTCCTTCCCAGTGTCTCATCTCACATGCAGTATTGGCAGGCTGTATCCAATCTCCAAGGAAAGACAGAGTGCATCTTCTTTCTTCCTCTATCATTCTTTTTGAAAATAAGGCTATTCATTACATGCCTGAACACTAGGGAATAACATTATTTCCTGAAGAGAGAGTGGATCATCTTAGGCAGAATTCAGCCCAGAGCTGAAGGTTACCATAAAAAAAACCAAAAAAGCCCCACACTAATTCTTCAGTCTAAAAGGTTTCAACAAGCAGCAGAATTAATTTGGAGCAGCACTTTTACCCATAAGCAATCGTCGCTTCACTCTCTTGTCCACATCAGCTGCTGCTGTGGTGTTTCCCTCAGAAACTTCAAGAGCAGCTTCTTCCCTCTCTGTGAGGAGCATGAAAAAAGCAAGTGAGTAAAGGTGCCCTGACTCATCTGACATCCAGCACACACCAACAGCTCCATCACACACTGAATCAGGAGCAGTCGGAACTGACCAAGCAGAAATAAGTTATTTTTCAAGAGCAAGCAGTAATAAAAATCATGAAGACCCTTCAGTCAAAACCATGAGAACGCTTTGCTTTTGTGGCTTCCTTACAAGCCATGTTTGCTTCAGTGTGCTGAACAAAACAAAAGATGTGCTACAGATGTAGTGAACAGCAGCAAGATGAAAGAGCTGACAGAGCTGCTCTGTTAGGAGTGCCCTGTCATCATCCGTCGTGGGCTAATTACAACAACCAGCCAGTCATGCCTCAGCATTTGATTTCAATCAACAGACAACAAACTCTCCCAGAGACTGCAAGAGTTTATAAATCTTAAGTGCTTTCTGTACTGGATAACTGCCTTGCCAAAACTACACATTAATTGATTTCAGAGTCCCAGTTTTTACAGACGTACTCCTTGCTCACACTACTGAAGAAAATAAACCTAAAATGTCCCAGAGGGAAGGAAGCCTGCTTTGGTTAGTGACAGGCCTCCTGTTTCAGGGGGACCAGTGATAATTACAGGTTGCAACAGCATTAGGTAGCTGCTTAAACAGGGAAGCATAACTTGCCTGGACCCAACCAACTCACCCATGCACTATCAGGTTCCTTCACTTTGAACTCATTGACATTTTCTATGGAGGAGCATTGATCTTGCCCACACAGCAGCACCACACCCCCTGGAGCTGGGGATCCCCAGCAAAGCCCTTCCCTGCAGCGCATACTGACCCAGGCAGGTTTTGCCATCCAGGTGCATGACGTACTTGGGGTGACATCCACAGACAGGCCCGTGCTCAGCATCGTCACACGTGTGCTGGCAGCCCCCGTTCCCGTGGTTGCATGTCACTGGGGAGAAAACACAGGGCACTCACTTCCAGCACCTCTGAGGGACCCTGGGCAGTCCCACTGCCACCTGAGCATGCAATGCAGCCCTGTCCTGAAGGGCTTTGAGACAGTGAGACACTGCACAGCTCCCTCATGGAACTGAATTTCCAGGTGTTATAAGTGATGGCACAAGTCCCAAACTACAGACACTACAGCCATCAACAGACCTGTGTGACAGTGCCCAGAAAAAACACCAATTCTGGTTCAGTTCAAGCACACACAGCTCAGGTGTGCCATGTTAGCTAAAACACACCAAGCCCCATCTCACTGTTCCCTTTGGGAACCATAAGCACATGCAGAATGTTGCCTACAAATGCAGCTCCTCTGGTTCTTGGACAGCTCAAATCCCGGTCGGCATTCACAGGCAACTCCTCCTTTGGGTGTTTCTCTGCAGATGTGGGCACAGCCATGGTCTTTGTTCATGCAGCTCATGCCTTCTGTAAAACAGGAAAGGTGCCAGAGCATCAGCACCCTCAGCAGCTCTGTGTGCAGGCAACAAGGTCACTTCAACACACACAGACTGAGCCTCTGGCTCTGGGAAGGCTCTGCGGGGTTGGGACAAGAAGTTTCAGAGAGGAAAGGCAGTGAGTCCAGTCCTGCAAAGTCAATAACCCCAAGGTTTCTCCTTCTGTGATCATTTCTGTGCCTGTTCTTTGACTGCAAGGTCAAAGAGCAACATCCACAGATTTGTACAGCACCTGCATTCTCATCCAATGCTCTCACTTTATACTTCCAGGTGTTCATAAAACCTCCTCATTCCTTTTACAAAAGTGGCAGTGTCCAAGTCTAAAATGAAGTTCCTATTTCTCTGCTGAAAAGAGCAGCCTGCTGACACAGGAATGTTTAGAACAGCAATCACAGGGCTCATCCCAATTTCAATTCCTGGCTTACAAAGCAAATTGCCAGAGTCATAACCTGTCTCAGCAGTGAGCAAGAGCTGAGTCCTATCTCAGATAAGGCCAACATGCAGATGGCACACATGCTGTACATAAATTATCTCTATTGTTAACCATTTTGTTTTCAATTTTTTTCTGATTTCAGTACACACCACCCAAGATAACCTCACTGGGTATTATCACAGTGTTCTGTATTTCTACACATCTTCCCAGTTAGACAGAATTTAGTGCCAGTGTCTGCTTAACCAAATGAAGAACCAGTGTGACACTAATGACTGGATTTCTTTTGCTACACCTCCTGTCATTTTTATCTCTGCCAGCTCGTACACAGCACTCAATTGCCAAAGTGCTTTTCTTGGCCTTTGCAAAAAATATCAAGTCAATTAAACAGGGAAGAATAGTTTCTAAAATTATTGCCAGAGCTTCTTTCCCCTTGCTCCATGGCTCAGTGCAAGCAGTGTCTTTGCCATTTGCAAGAAGGTGGTGCAGCCTGCACACACACAACACAACAACACCCAGCAGCTGGCTGAGTTACCCAATGGCATCAACAGACCAAACTAAACAAATAGGTGTGCTTTTAACAGAATACCACAGGGCTTTGATGGAGTCCTCTACAAAACCAGGAAAGAGAAGACATCTGAATGCTGTCCTTGGGTGTACAGAGAGCACACCTTTACCATCAAATTCTCTGTCTGGGCACATTTGGATCCCTTAAAAGGACAAGTTACACCAAAATGCTCTTTCTTCCCAGTGAGAACATTCCATTTATGAAGACCAGGTGGAACATTCTTTGGCTGCCAGGGCTGATCCCACTCCACCCCAGTGACCTTCTCTGGAGCTGAGCAGAGGCACAGTCAGGAGCAGAAGAGCAAGGGTGACCATGCTGCAGGAAAGGCACTGTCAGTTCCACACCCTGTGTATTTTTTAAACTTACCCAGCCCTTTTTTCAGCCTTACTACCAAGAGAAGCAAACCCCCTGCATTGTGAGGCAGAGGTCACCATTATTCCACTCCACTTCAATTAGGTCCTTTCTCCACACTGCTATTCTCACCCCCTGGAGCACCAGCTACAGGACCCTTTCTCTATTAAGACAGCTTTAAGCAACAAAAGAATGGACACTGCAGAGCCCAGATTATTCTGCTCTGCTGGCTTTTTGATTCCTTTCCCACAGTGAGGGCTCTCCACAAGTCCAGCAAGACAATGAGGCTTCAAATCCTGCAGCACACAGGCACAGCCCAAGGAGCCCACAGGAAAGCTGTCACCCATTATTGTGTCAGTCAAGGAAGGAGACAACCCATGAGGCCACAAATTAGCCTCATTAGCTCTGATGTTTTTGTCAAAATTCTGCTCTTAAGCATGCAGCATGGTTTGCTCTGTTAGCTCGGAGGAGTTAGAGAGCATTAAGAAAATTAGCAGCTTAGTTTCTGTCAACAAAGTTATTCTTTTGTCTCTATTGAGCTACCAAAGGGGAAACTGCTCAAGCAGGTACTTTGGTAAAGTTCACTGGCACCAAACAAATGGTTTATATGCTCCATTTGGGATTGCTCCATTCTGAGGGAGCAGACTTCAATCAGGTCTCCACAGAAAGCTCAAACTGTGCTTTCCAGACCAGGATGCATTTTAATAACAAGGTATCCATTGTGGAACAAGGTACTGCACCAAACCCACCAAAATCTGGCTGACCTAAAAGGCAGTTTCATAGAGGATACCCACATCCACACATTCCAGCGTTTACTTTGGGACTGCTCTTGTTTCCAAAGCTGGTAGATCTCTCTCAGCCCCGTTTTACAAGGTTGTATTATTAAGGAGATGTCTGTAAAGCCATAAATGCTGTGTGGCTGCAAACCCCTTGGTGCACACAAAGTCTCCCAGGTCACTTTGTTCCAGTGCTGTTGCAATGGCAGACTGTGCTCCACAAACAAACCCCAAGCAGATTTTGCTCAAATCTCCCCACACACTTCCCAGACACACAATTTGTGCTGTAGGAGACTCTGCCCTACTGACCCACAAACATCCTGGGATGGATGGCTCTGGATTGTCCCACTCAGCCAGGAGAGGTGACTCCAGTGCCTTTGTGCTTGAGCAGACCCTGAGCCAGGTGGGACCTTTCTGATGACAGAACCTTCTTGAAGTTACCCAGCAAACCTGAGATCTGAGCACTCCTGTCACTGGCAGAATGCAGGCAAAAAAAAGCCAGCAGTATTTCCCCACCAGGTCACACTAAATTAATCTCTTACATGTAAGACCTGGGTTTTCATATCTATATTTTTTTGCACAGAAGGTGTCAGGACAACATTCCCAATCTGCTAAGAGCATTAAGGCTCTATTTAGGGCAGGCTCAAGCAGGCATTCTGCAGGACAGACAGAGGATGCAATGGGACAAAGAGCTACCAGACAGTCTGAGAGAACAGAAAAATGGTGAGGAGCATCAGCAGAGGAGCAGAGCAGGACATCCCAGGAGTGCTTTAGTCTTTCACCCTTGTGTTAAGGCAGCTTTTCCCCAAAGGCTCCCCAGCTCCCCCTGCTCTCTGCAGCCAAGGCTCCAGCAGGGACAGCTGGGATGTGCCCTGTGTGAGTTCACACAGGATTCCAAGGTGCCTTTCATCCCTCAGATCCCCTCCATTCCCACCAATCCAGCCCAGCTATGACTGTGAGATACCCCAAGGGAGAGCAGCAACATTTGCCAGCCAGAGCAGCAGCAGCCACAAAGATGCACCAGGTATTTACTCACAAAAAACTCTGTTTTCTGTCAAGCTTTTGCATTCCCTATCATGGAGCAAGTGGAACCCAGACACGAGGTGCACGTGCATGGCTGCCCTGCCAGCTGCTTTAACATCCTCCTTGGGTAATTCCTTCTCCCACACAGAAGAAAAGCAGCCCATTCCAGCAGGAACACAAGGATAAAAAATAGGATTGTGCACAACTTCCCAGGACACCCTCAGTTCCTGTGGTTTAACCTCCAGGTCACTCTGCTCCTGTGTGTTCAAATACCAATATTGCAGCCCACAGGGAAGGTGTCCCAGGCATTGATATATGGAAATTTGAATGGGGCTGGGAGACAGGGAAGGAAATATTCCCTCACTTTACAGGTAAGAAACAAAACTGGATAGATGGCCTAGGCAGTAGGAGCCAAAATCTGCTTTGATCAATGCTGTGAGGTCTCAGAACCAGCAAAGTACAAACACTGAGCAATGCATACACGAGGCAGAGAGCAGGAGTCCCAGAAATGAGCAGAAAAGCAGAGAACAAAGTCAGGGGAAAGATAAAGAAGTGAGATTTGGCTTACAACAGACATGCCCACCCAAGGGAAAAAAAAAAGGTTAAAAAGAAGATAAAAAAAAGGTGGGGAATCCTCAGCAGCACTTTACAGTAATGAAGGGGGGAGGGGGTAAGGTAGGAGGGAAACCGTCACAGCATGAAACTTGAAAAAATGGCTTTCAAAGAAAGCAAAACAAGCACCTCAATGTTTTACTAAGAAAAAAAAAATGTATCAGGCAAAAGAGTGAGCTGAGGTTTTTTCTTAAGACTGGTTTTGATAAAGATGTATTTTATTAGATAGATTTTATGGGAAAAAATCCATCTTTTTTGTCCCCTTTTTTCCTTTTCAAAGAAAAATACCTATGTTTAGTGGATATTTGTTATTATGGGAAAAGGGCCTTTTAGGGGAAAAAAACATTAAGAGAAATGAAATGCGTCTTTAAGAAAAGAGACAGAATTCCAAAGGTACAAAGAAGGGAGGAAATATTGGTGACAGGGAATGCTGCTGCTGTCAGTTCAAGAGAGTAGAAGGCACTGAAGCAGCAGCAAGTATGAAAAAAGAGTTGGAAGATTTTCCTCTCTTGGCATCAGACAGGACAAGGAGTTCAAGCAACCAATTTCAGTGCTTAGAGAGCCCCTCCATGGGTGCACACAAACTCACAGCCCTGCTGTGCCTGGCCCAGCCCCTGCAGTGGCAGCCTGAACCAGACCCCTGTGGGACCAAGCCCAGGGCCAGAGGAGCTGAGGACACAAATTCTTAACCCAAACAGAAGATCAATTCAGCTCTGTCAGATGGCAGCCACCTCAGCACCCTCATCTGTGGATGGCCATATATGTCTACAAATGTTGATCTCTTCACTTTGGGGATTTTTAGAGTGAGATTTGTTTATTCATGCTCAGATTCCTCTTATAGTTATGCCAACAATAAGCCATAGATTAAAGAAAGCCTTGCAGCTCTAAGCACTTCTTACTGAGATTTTCACTGTACAGTTCAATGGACAACTCCCTGATCTGAGCAACCACTTTAAAGCATACCCTGAGGGCATCCAGAATAATTTTGTTCCATCTGATGCCTAATCAGATATCCAAGACTCTGATCTCTCAAAGGTCGCTTCACAAAGGTTTCGCTCAAAACAAAGCACGAGATTTGAATACCTTTGGGGCTGACAAACAATAAATCTCTCAGCTGAAACCTAAACATTCTACAGGGAATCTAAAAGGTATCTGAAGGCAGTGCAGCTCTTGCCCTGTAACTAAAGCCACTGAAAATGGATATTTGTGGCCATTCCCTGGGTTGGGGCAGAGTTTTGGTGCCCAGCAGAGCAGCAGGGAGCCGGGGTGCAGCAGCACAGCCTTCAGCAGGCTCAGCACCGCACACACAGCCGGCATCAAAGAGAGGAAGGGATGCAGCTCTTCAAAGCCACTTGGAACATCCTGACACGCTGCTCCTTTCTAAGGCAGCGGGACTCCAAGGCCCTTCCCAGCTTTAAAAACCCCGAGAGCCCTTCAGAAGGGGTTTGTGGCTCTGCCGGCGGGCGGGCGGTACCTTCGGAGCGGTGGATGCAGGTGTGCTGGTTGTCGCTGAGGAAGAACCCCTCCTTGCAGCGGCACTCGTAGCTCCCCACCGTGTTCACACAGACCTGCTGGCAGCCGCCGTTGTTGAACATGCACTCGTCTGTGTCTGAGGGAGAGAGGGAAAGGCAGAGATGAGCTTGGTGCCCTCACCACGGCACAGACAGACAGACACCAGCTCGGGCTGGAGGCACCCGGGCAGCTGAGACACCCCTTGGTTTGTGATCCTCCTCCCTCAAGCCTGGGACATCATCGCCCATCATCACTCCTGTCCTTGACTGACTGCAGTCAAGGACAAGAGCACAAGTTCTGGGAGCAGTTTGAATCTTGAATTTGCAACATTCAGAGTCTCAACAACACCAGAGAACACAGAAGGGCTTTGCTTGCAAGAGAACCAAGAGAACCAAAGAGTAGAAAAGCATCAGCTAAGCCTCGGAACAACAGGATGCCCATCCCAACCTCCAATTCTTTGGAATTTTACCCCTTAATAAGCACAGATTTTTGAAACCGTGAGTGCCAAATACTTCTCCTAGCCTAATTTTCAGAAATTTTAGCAGGAACTGAAAAAAGTCCCCTAAAAACAGAACAAAACCTTGCTGAGGCAAAGCACTGGTCTCATTTGCAAATTCATCTGCAACACCATGTTTGCTCCCTGTTCTGTTCATTGTTCCTGGCTAATAGTACAATGTTTTTAATTTAACATTGTAGCATTTCTGGCAGAAAACAGCTGTCTCAAAAAAAAAAAAAGGAGAAAGAGAGGCTTTTAGTAAGAAGCATAACAAAGTATTACAACAGATTTAATGTCCACTGAAGGCAGTGAGTAAGGCAATTGGAGGCAAAGGAATGTGACCTGCTGGAGAAAAAGAGCGGCTGACATATCTCCATCACAAAGAAGCTGAGTATTTTAGAGTTCTGCAGCGATGCGAATGTGCAAACAATCATGAATAAACAGCCACCACGAGTCTTTAGTGCTACAGATTTGAACTCCAGCAGATGTTTCTGTCTTACAGACCTTGGAAAGCTTTCAAAAAAATCATCTCTTTCCAACAAGTAATTGTCTATTTGGCTTAAACCCAGGCACACAGCAGAGATCTTCAAAAATAAGGGTGAGAGGAGGGCAACCCTGGCGTGAACAAAGTAAATAAACAGATTAAGAGAAGATGTGATCCAATTTGCCGCATGCCAAAATATTTATTTAACGTTTACATCACAACTCAAAATTGGCACATCAGTGGTAAAAACCTCTCTGCATGTCAATGACATTTTGTTTTGTTTTATTTTATAGGTCTGCCATGCAACACTGAGCAGCTTCCCAGCCACATAGCAGGTGGTAGATTTTGGCCTAGGTTGTGTCAGTGGTCACAAAGAGCTCAGCTGAAGCATGCCCTGGGTACAAGGAGAACACACACAGGCCTCTGGTGCCATTGTCAGGAGCAGTGTGCTCCTCCACATCCAGCCCTCCGTGGTAACCTCAGCTGAACTCCACTCTGTGCTTACACAAACGCAAAAATAAGATGGATGTTCTGTCATTTTAAAGCATCTGCAGATATTTTGTTTCCCTCTCTACTTTATTGAGATATTTGGAAGCTGGGGAGTTCAGCCTCTCCTCCACCTACACTGCAGAAAGCTGGGCAGGCAAGCAGGTAAAACCCAACACAATCCCACTGAATACTCCAGAGTTTCCTGATTTGTCCCTGCAGAAGTTACAGCCTGGGGATGGTGTGACCCCCAGCTGATGTGCCACACACCAGTGGGAGCAGCCAGCCAAACTAACTGCAATTATTCAGAGAGAGCAAGGCTCCCTCTGACTGCCCTGGCTGTGGAGGTGTGTCCAGCACATCCACAGGAGTGCAGCACTAGAGGGAAACTGAGCCATCCCTGGAAAAGCAAACGGCACAGGTGGCACAGGGTGAGCACACAGGGGGCCCAGGAAGCAGGACAGCTCCTCCAGCTCAAGGCTCAGTCCCTCTGCTCTTCAGTGGCCTCCATCACACACACTCCAAATCATCCTCTCCTTTTGGGAATACTCAGAGTGAGAAGCCCCCACATTACAGGTGGATTTGAGAGAGAAGATCCCTAAGCCTGGAGACACACCTGAAAACTGATCCTAAGCTAACTGTGGGACAGAGAGCACAACGATAGCACATGTTCCTTTATATAAACTCATTTAGCATAATGACAGATGGCATTTGGCACACTTAAACCCAAAGCACTCCACAGAAACATAGCACAGTTATCCTCATTTACAGAGAGGGGAAAGAGCCACGCTGGGATGGTACCTCAATACCTGAAAACCCTTAGACTCACAAGCAACATTTCCTCTCTGTCTGCACTGAGTGAGCCCAGGAGATGGGCAGGTGTTGCCCAGGGGTGTGTTCCAGCAGCCCCACCCTGCCCACGGGCACACCCCTTACCCAGGCAGTTGTGGCCATCGTGAGCCAGCATGAAGCCGTCGTAGCAAGTGCAGCGGTAATTCCCTGGAATGTTGAAACACTCGTGGACACAGCCCCCATTGAAGTCGTTGTCACATTCATCAATGTCTAAGGAATAAAGCAAAAGTCAGTATGATGGATGCTTGCCTGAGTGTTATAGACAGGGATGTGACTGCCTAAATGTGAGCAGCAACTGCTGTCCAAAATGGTCATTGTCTTGCAAACACACTATATTTAATGCATTTCTTGCTGAATGACTGAGAAAACACCCTGAAACCCCCTGGCAGCTTTACCTTATGCTTTTTAGGCCATAAACAACAAACTCATTATCAGGCTGAGTGAAATGAACAGGTGAAAATCCATGCAAGGTTTGCCTTTGTTTTTGTAAACAAGAAGTAAATCAGGTGACAAAACAATCCCTATTTTGATTTTTAAAACCATCCTTCATTATTTTCAGTGGCTCTACTTTCTCAGAAATGCTCCATGCTGGCACAGAGAGAGCGCTGTGCTCTGCTCCCTTTACCTTCACATTTCCTCCCTTCGCCGGTGTAACCCATTTTGCACATGCACTTGTACAGCTTCGGGGTGTTCTGGCAAATGGCATCTGGGTGGCAGTCATCCAGCCCCAGGGCACACTCGTCCACATCTGTGAAAAGACAGCAGGCTCAGGAGGGATGTCAGCAGCAGCAGGAGAGCAGGGCACGGCTCCTGAGCACATCCCTGAGGGGATGACAAGGCTGAGCACCCCTCTGCGGTGCTCACAAGAATATTGTGTGGTTTTGTGTGCCAGGACAGAAACAGGCAGAGACAGCATCTGCACTTCTATTTCTGTCACATTCTACCTGCACATAGATATATTTGTATATATCTATAGATATATTCAGATAAGCCCATGGTAAGCTTTTCTGTAAGTTTATAAATGCACCCAAAACAATCTCGTAAGGATTAGATGCTCCGTGAAATTCAGCTGATAGGTTCACAGAGATTCATCAGAGATTGTCAATCTTTCTGATTAAAGGCAGTCATTGAAAGAGTTAAAACATTAAAAACAAAAAGCAGTCACTGAAAGAGTTCTTGATCACATCCATGCATCACCTGCAGCAAGCCCAAGGATTTTTAAAATAACAAGGGGAGAGGATTGAAATGTGCTTTCAAAGTCACCACCAACAAGTTAAAAGACCGACTTACCATTAAACAGATGTATAATCGTAAAATGTTATTTTTTAATACAAGAATAGTGTCTGGGCAGCAGCATTGCCAAATCACCTGGCCAGCCATCTCAAAGCACAGCAAACTGAAGCAAAATATCCAGGTGGAAACTTCAGAGAAGAGGAAATGAAGAGAAAGGGAAACACCAACAGGAAGAAGTCCTGGAGATGAAGAAGTGTAGACAGAAGAGGAAGAAAAGTTACAGGCAGCAGAAGACAGACATCAGCACAAGCTTTTCACACGGCAGAAGAAAACTGAAGCACAGAAACAGGAAGATTTCCAGCAACTGGCTAAAAGGGAGAATTGTAGGAGCAACACCCCATTCAGGTACAAAAAGTGCCTCATAAAACAAGAAGTAGCGCATGAGTATCAGCAGAAAGCAACTACTTCAATAGCCAGTCACTTTTTATGGTGGGGATCACTTTCCAAATGGAAACTTCAGCCAGCACTTCTCCCATTTACAATTATAGCATTCATCCTGCTCTTTTTTTTTTCCTTTCCCCCAATCACAAAATATGCCTGTAGGTACTGCAGCAGCTGCCAACTGCAGAAAGTGTTCACTTGGTTTTAACTCCTAATGGGGTTTGGCAGTGGGAAACAAGGCAGAGAGCCAGTGTTAGAGCAGCAGTGCCTGCCTGGCTCTCAGGTGCACACAGCTCCAGGGATGGGGTCCCAGACACCGCCACCAGCAAGAAAGGAGAAGGTGGCAAACAGCGGGAAGCAGCTGGGAAGGGCAGCAGAATCGGCTTCCTCTCAAAGCAGAGAGGTCAAGCCAGTAAAAAATATGGGAGGCAGGGAATTGAAGGAGCAAGTCGTGCAAGGAAGGGTGCGGGCAACAGCTGAGGGGTCTCCAGCTAGTGGGACTCCGGTAGGTGGGGCAGACAGAAAGGATGGGCAGGAAGGACAGACGGACAGAGGGCATAAAGGAGCACCAGCCACACTGCCCTCAGCTCTCAGCTCTCCCCTGCCCTGCCCGAGCCAGGGGCACAGAGCTGCCCCGGCAAGAGGGGTCCCAGGAAACACCGGCAAGGAGGGGCTTCCCTCTAGGGCAGGACACAGAGACAGGGAGCAGATCTCGTGGCAGCTCAGCTGGGTTATCTTTACACCGCCCCTCTGTGATCCGCAGCGTGCGGTAAAGAACCGCAACAAGAAGCCGCATCACTAATGCGTGGAAAAGAGAGCTAGGAAAAATCCATAAGCACAGAGAGCGAGATTTCCCCTTGCAGTGACAGCGTCCCGAGCACAAGAGAGACCCTGCCGGAACGAGACTGTGAGCAAACATCGCAGCCTTCAACTTGGCAGGAGGCGGCGGCGGGAGAACTCCGGGGCTGGTTCGGCGGGGTCCGAAGGCAGCTCCGCCCGCGGCACACACCATCCACACCCCGCTCCCCAGGTGCCCGTCCCGGGGCTCTCCCCGCTCCCGGGGCAGCGGGAACCGCCGGCAAAGCGGCGCTGGCAGCACCCGCGGAGCCCGAGCGCCCTGCGAGCAGCCCGGGCACGGCCGCAGCTCACACCGGCACCGACCGGCCCCTTCCCTTGCCCGCCGGCCGGAGAGGAGCCGGGACCGCGCGGTGCCCGCGGGGGGAGCCGCGGTGCGGGGATGGGGAGAGTGGGGGCCGGGACCGGGCAGGGACCGGGGGCATGGACCGGGGCGGAGGGCACTCACCGGGCAGGGGAAGGGGAAGGGGGGCACTCACCGGGCAGGGGCGGGGGGCACTCACCGGGCAGGCTAAGGGAGCGGGGGCACTCACCGGGCAGGGGCAGGGGGCACTCACCGGGCAGGCTAAGGGAGCGGGGGCACTCACCGGGCAGGGGCAGCGCGGCGGGCCCGGCCGGCGCGGGCAGCAGCAGGAGCAGCAGCGGCAGCGCCCTGGCCCCCGAGGCGCCGCGGCGGCCGCCGGACCCCATGGATGGCGCTGCTGCCGCTGCCGCCGCCGGGCGGGAGGAGGCGGCGGCCGAGGGAGTGTCTGGGGCGCCCGGCCCGCCTCGCACTGACAGCGGGCGCGGGGCGGCGAGGGCTGGGCGGGCCTCCCCTCCCTGCCCGGCCCTGCCCCGGGCGCGGTGGGCGCTGCCGGCGCACGAACCGCCCCAGCCCGCCCATGGGAGCCCCGGCAGCCGCACACCTGCGGAGCCACAAACACAGGTGTCCCATGGAGCCGCTGGAAACCCGGCAGCGGGAACGCCTCACACCGGGAGCGGGTGCTCCCCGGGCCCGGGAAGCATCGCCCGGCAGGACGAGCCTGTGGCAGCCCGAACCCGCCCGATGCGCTCCAGCCTCCATTGCGCTGGTTCAATGCAATATTGACATTTTTACCGTGTAATCACACCCCACCGCAGAGCGAGAATCCCCCCCGGCTGAGGGCCATGCCAAAGCCACGCATCACCCCACCCCCAAGCCAGCCCCATCCCACCTCCATCCCCAGCCAGGGATTGCTCACAGCTGTCGCTCCTTTGGCAGGTAAAATTGGCTCATACATTATTCACTGAAATTATCATTTCCTAAATAATGTCTGACCTTTCAGGCTGCGAGCAAGAGCAGGCAGTATTCTCTCCCACCCCTCCCTCCCATCCCCATTTCACTGCCCTTTCCCTTTTGTTTTGTTCTGTGAGAAATACCGAGCTGTTTCTAGTTGCAAGGGCGGTTTATACACATTAGTAAATCTTCAGAATGAAACTTTCCCTCAGTCTTTGTCTTTGTTTCCTTAATGGCAGCTATAAATTACCACTCTCCTTTCTCACTGGAGCATCAGGCTTCATTGCTTTTGAAATGATCAAAGTTATTCTCTTTTTGAATCCAATGAGAAGCAACCTTTTGTGTCTCCTGGTCGGTTTCAGTCTTAGGCAATCTCATCTATAAATACATAAAGCTGCTCATTAAACACTCCCAGGATTCTCCAGCCCTAAGCAATAAATGAATGAAGGGTTTCTCGAGAGTTTCCATGATCTCCTGAATAAACCTTCATACTTGGGGTGGGAACTGGCACACCTGCACATCTCTCATCCAGGGATATCACTCAGTGTCTCCATAAACAGCTCTCCCAAATGGACAGAGAACCCATCTCCCATCCAGGCACATGGCTTCAAACCCCCTCACAGAAAAGCTGCCACTCACTTCAGGCGCTGCCCAGTCCCCTCAATGAACTCGACCAGTACTAATTAAATTAACTTTCATCACAAGATTTGCAAAAGACAAAGTAAGAACACATATGAAGAGTGCAGCAGAAAAACCAGCAAGAGACACTGAAGAGTCCTGTGACCAAAATATCCAAAGCTTCCTGAGGCACCCTAAAAGCAAAGCATCTTTCTTACTTCTGTAAACTAAAACATAAAGGGAGACATAAATATTTGGGAATGCCTGAGTTAGATCAAAAGATCTCACTGCAGCTTGGAAAACAAACAGAACAATATCAAATTCATCTTAGCTAATGAAGCCATTTCTTACACATAAATCTCAAAGTGTTTTGTGAAGGATCCTGGCTATTATTTCACATATAACACACATTTGTTTATGATGAGGAATTGCCATTAAAATATCTCTTTAAAGACACAAACCAGACAAGCTCAGACCTCAACTCAGATGCCTTTCTGCAGCCTTTTTAACTATTTCTATTCACCCACAGAGTCACAGTGACAGATGACTGCTCTGGCCATGAAGACCTTTACTGGGAGAGAGAAGTTACAAAAATCCTCAAGATTTAACTTCAGCACTACATATGAGTAAAGGAAAACAACCACACCAGGGCAGCTGGACAGGAAGACAACCAAATAGGACTGTTGGGGGATTTTTTTCAGCAATTTTAAATAAAATCAAGTAACAAAGTTCCAGGGAAAATAACTATTTCCATAGAGGTAAGACCCCCAATTCCCCTCTGCTCTCATTTTCACCATCACATGCAGCTGCCCCACACTGACTGATGAGACTAAGCTACCACAGAGCAGCTGGATATAAAATCTGCTTCAGGAACTGCACACCTCATGTCCTGAGGAGAGATGAATACTTTTGTCTGCAAATTTGGCTTAAAAACTGCTTTATGTTTCATAATCCTTGTTAAATTTCATTATTTAATGATGACCAAACAATACCTGAAGACATGCAGATTGCCATTTCATCTGCACTTCAATGAGAAGTAGCAACTCTGCTGGCCTGCATCATATTGACCCAAAACTGAGCATGATGAGTGCTTGTGACAGCAGCTGAAAACAACTGGGAGATGCCAGAATGGTAAAAGGAAAGTAGGATGCTGACAAGTGAGGAAATATTCCCAAATATTTAATTGCTCCAAAGCACACACAAAATGTCTCAGAGTTGTAGTTTCAAGCCTTGCTCATCTCCAGGTATGCACTGAGTTTTCAGAATTGTTTTTCTTTGAAATGTATCACTCAAATTTTTGCACTTCCCATCCTAGTGTCCCAGGCTTGCTGAATTCTGTGTAAAAATAACACATCTTCAGTAACCAGCAGGACTTGCACAGGACTCATCCGAGACAGAGGAAATTTGTGCATTCTCTGGTCACAAGGGGCATTAAAAACCCCTCCCATGTAATTTATATGCCTTGTCCAAGTCTTTTTATGCCATTTGTAGAAAAACATTCCCCAAACAAACATCAGATCCACCAGTGACATTTTAAATGTTGCAGGATCTGCATCTTAACGTGCCACAGTCAGTGAAGAATAGCTCCTGTTTATTGCAGAACTGAACACAGCATGGCCTATTAATACACACACATTTCTGAGTTAATAGGGGAAAAAAAGAGACATTTTGTCACGTGAAATAACTTCTAGACATTTGTATTTCCTTGTGAGAACTTTCCAAGTCATTGCTACAACAAACGGTAACATTTTGGACCAGAGCAGTCAGTGAACAGCCCCTGCAGTTGCACAACACACTCAGGCCACCAAGGCCCTGCTCTTGGTGTTGCTTTTCCTTGGAGGAAATGTGAAAAACCTGAAGCCAGCACCTGAGGTGAGGTGAATGAAGCTGCATTTAGCTCAGCCCCACGTCCATCCCTGCAGAGGGTCAGGAGCAGCAGGTCCATGCCAGCCCAGGGAACAGAGCTCTGGTGTCTCTCACAGGCCCAGCACACGCACGGCAGGTACCAAATCCACAAATGCACCCCAAAACCTGCCCAAGGATGAGGCCAGAGCATGGCTCAGGCCAAGCTCACCCTCTGGCATCCCCCAGGATCACCCCCAGCTCAGGGAGGATCCATGCCTTCCCCCAAGAGGGATATTGATATTTTTATTTGTTATTTCCCTTTGCTTACAAAAAGCCTCCACCACAGACCAGGTGCAAAACCACCCCAGGGGTGTGAGAGGTGAAGCACCAGAGATACCTCCAGATGAATGATCCAACTCCTTCCTTCTGTCTTCCCTGGTGGGACAGAGCATTCAGAGATGGCCTCATGTGGTTTGAAAAGGAATGGCAGCACATCTGAGGGTGTGTGTGCTCGCAGACCCTCCCAAGGTCTGTGTGGTCCCTTTGCCTTCCCCTTGTCCCCATTCCCTGACTCTCTCTCCTCCACTGCTGGCAGTCTGACAGACAGGGATGGCCTCTGCAGCTGGGAGGGAGCAGCTGTAGCTGGACAGATCAGACACCAAACTGTACAGCAAAGATCTCCTGAAATGAGCCACTAAAATGTCCCACAGACCTGCAGCCAGGCAATGAGCCAGGTGATCAGCCAAATTATACCAGGCTTTTTGAAAATAGCACATTAATGCTATTTTTTTCATGTTAGAAGACAAATTTTATTGCAATTCAGCAAATGAGCTACACCTGTAAAACCTCTTTGTATATCCAATTCACATTTAATGTCCAATGGATTGAAATGTCACAGGAAAAATAAAAAAAAAGGAAAACAGTACCTGGTTTTGTCATTATAATGTAAACTTCAACACGGCCCTTAAAAATAACAAGCCAGTGATTTCCCCATGTAGTAAAATATATAGTTTATAAGGTATTGATGTTTTATCTTAGTTTAACAGCCAATCTCTAGGTATAAAATAAAGAGCTACAAAGATGTGAAGTACGTGAACAATTTCTTCAAGTATTTTCAAGTATCCTATAGTCTCCTCACTACAGACAGAATTCATTTGACAATATACAGAAAATGTTAAATCTGAATAGTTTCACTGCAGAAATCTTAACATATTCATGAATTTAAAACACATAAAAAGTATGGGTCATCCAGCTACTAAGTCTCATTGAACAGTTTGAAAAATACTCTTTGTAATGGAAAAAGTTGTGGAACAGTCTCCAGTTCATGAATACGTTTTCAGCTACAGAATATCAGGTGGTTAAAGTTTATGGCAGGTAAAGGCTTTTTTTTTCTTTTGTATAAACTTACCATCATAGTATTTAATTCCATTTAAACCAAACTTTGTTAATTTGCATTTTCTTTTTGTATAAAGTATCATTGTAGCATTAACCAAAGAAGGCTAAATAATTGATAGGTGATAGCCAAATTTTTCCTCTCAAATCAGGTATGATGAGCCTGTAAACATGTCTGGCTAGTTTAGCACTATGTACTTACTGCATGATGAACGGCTTACTTTTTTATCACTGCATTTCTCTCTTTAGAATGAATGTGTGCTGTTAAAAAGTTTATCTTTTCTCATTAACTGTTACCAAAAAATCCCCTATGAACAACAGAACAGCACAGCCACACTAACTGTGCCTACCAAACCTGCCCCCTTATTTTGGAAAAATAACAAGAAAAAAAGTTAAAACCGCATTACTCTGAACAAAGGGAGAAGGATTTTACAAAGCTCTCGATAAAAAGGTGCTGATTACACTCTTTGTTCCATAAAGTTCAGCAGACTGGCATGGCAGGAGCAAATGCTGGATCCTGACCTTATCCTGTGGGACTGCTGCTAGATCAGCTATGAGAGAAAGGGGTGGGTTTGAGGTGGGATTGTGGCTGCTCCTACAGCCTGGGCTGTTCTTACACATGGAATCTCTTCCCAAAATCCTGGCACAGGATTTAATATCTTGTATTTAATACCTTGCTCTTCCTTGGTTGCCTTTGGAGCTAACAAAACCAGCTTTGGTTCTGCTGCATCTCAGAACCTTCCACTGCTCCGCCAGTGGAGCAAATCCCTGCAGCCTTGGAAGGGCACAGCAGAAAGTGCTTTGAACCCCAACAGGATCAAGCACAGGATCCCTGTGAGAGAAAGAGGAAGGTCTATCTCAAACTGGTTTTTGCTGTGAGAATAAAGTAATCTAAGAGCTGGAAGAGGATCTTTGTGTCTTCCCTTTGCACTGGACAGCCAGAACTCAGGGCGCTCTCACTGATGGGCAGCACCATCCCCATGGGCCAGCCAAGGAGCTCACCCCTGGCAATCACCAAATCCCAGCCTCTGCCCATCCCAGCCACCTCAAACTCTTCTAATGAGGGCAAAACAATCCACATCAAAACAGCCATTGGGCCAATGGTATCATGTCTCACTAGGTAAACTTGTGTGAGGAAGGAAAAAAAAAAGATAAAAAAAGAACCTTAGTTCAGGGTAATTACCACATGCAGATAAAATTAATCCACCCTTAATCCTATGAGATATATGGTTTTAACAGGATCAACTCAAGTGTTAAGGTGAAACTATGGAATCTTCCTTTCTTACTTAATATTCCCTGTGAAATACACAGGCCTAGTAAAGTCATTTTCAAGACAGCTGAAACAAAAACAACAAAAGAAAACAAATGAACAAAAAAACCCCCAAAATAAAACAAAAAAAAATTGCTATTATTAATGCACAAACAATTTAGGGCAGGTGTAAAAAGACTATCCTAACATATTAAGTTGAATATACGAAATTCTTAGAATGCAGTAAAACTGTTTTTTTATTTTTGCCCTTCAAAAGCAGGAAGGAAAATTTTGAAAGCACCAAGAAAACCAACTCTGCACACACAGAGAATACTCCTGTGAAATGATCCTGTAAGCTGTGAAAGAATTTGCACCCACCCCATGTGAGGAGTGGCTCAGACATTGCCCTCACATCTTCCTAATGCTACTGTGAAAGCAAAGAAGAATCTTGCTCTGATAAGTAGTGACAAAGGAACTTCTCAGTTTAATAATGAAATAAATAGGACAAAATTAAAAATAGTCAAAAATTTAATACATGTGCTATACTCATAAATTATGGAAATAAAACTATCACAAGATGTGACTAAGCTGTAGGTAAAGTAAAAGTGCTACAACATTGTATGAACCAAAAAACTCGGATTCTGCTTCTCCAAAGAGAGACAATACTGAGATAAGTTTATACAGTGGAGACCTCTTAAATACACAGCCCTGAACTTCTGTACAGTAATTTGTGATGCTGATAAATCAGCCTGTTCTTAAGTCACATATTCATTTCAAAGAGATTTTTATCAGAGGATTCAAATGAACAGAGATGCCTTTAGGCATTTGCCAAGTTCCAGATCTCCAATAAATTAGGCTTTCAAAATGTTTGTGTTTCATAGCAGAAATGGCCTAAACTTTCTTTGCTAAAAACAAAAGCATCCCAAATGAAGCAGACTGTGAGAATGGGATCCAAGACATATGCACTCAAAAGGAAAAGAAAAAACCTTAATACCACTGTCCTTTCAGAAACATTAAGAAATCCTTTTAGTTGTTAGTAAGGTATACTGTTATTACTTCAGATGGGGCATAAAGATTTTTATTTAGTCATCTGGCATCTGGGGAACTCATGTCCCTCTTTATGAGCAGTTAAGAGAATTACCAGCAGCCAGCATATACCAAGCTTCAAAAGGCTGGTTTAAGTGGAAATGTTCTTGTGTTATGAACAATTATTCCAGGTTTCTCATTTAAGTGGGCTACACTGTAAATTCTGAATTGCAACATAATATAGCCAGTTGTATCATAGAAGATTTTTTTTTAAAGACAAACTTACAAAACACAATGATAGGTTAAATAAATAAAAAACATCAGTTAAAAAACAGACTTAATTTCTTCTTCTGTGCAATTACGTACCAATATGAAAAATATTACTTTGATCTCTGGACATTTCACGGTTCAGTCTCCTGGATTTCACTAAAAATAATACTGACAACAAAAATAAAGGAAAAAAATAATTGTTGACAAATCAGTGCTTTGGAGCTATTAAAAGCACAGATCAAATCTGTAGTTCCCTTGCAGCAGAACATGACCCAACACCTTAAAAATCAAACATTGGTAATAATGTTAATATATAAAATATTAGTTTAAAAACTATAGAATGACCTTCTCAGCAGAAATGGAGTGTATACACTGGGGTCTATGACATACAGCATATCTGAAGGCAAGTTCACAGAATGCTGAAAGGCTCACTGCACGTTTTCTATGGCAAGGAAATACTGCAGCTTTAAAATAAGCTGCACAATACTCATCTCTATCTCTTTCACATGAAAGTGTGTAAAAAGCAAATCAGCAAATAAACTCTAAAATAGATTTATACCAAAATCCTCTTTTTTACATTGAGTTTACAGCTTCTATCCATTTGCCTGTACTATTTCTGGAGTTTCCTTCAAGAAAAGTCAGAGTTGCATTTCTGGGCCATGAACAAGTTCACGATACAATGTACTGGCAAGACAGAACTTTTGCATACTAACGAGATTCACTCCTTGTTGCTTTTTGTTGTGTGTGTAAAGACAGTTTTTCCTGTGGGACAGGAGGTCAGATGTCGATTCCTTTGACCAGAGATGCCTCCAGGGTGATGTTGAACTCCTGCAGGGTCTGCAGCACCCGAATCAAAGAATTCACCAGCGTGTGATCCTTAATCAGGGCCATGTCCTCATACATCTGGGCTGTAATGGGGCAGTCTGCAAGCAGGGCGATCCAGTGGTGCAAAAGGTGGTCTCTGACAAGGGCCCAGTGGGCAGTTTGGGAATAAAAATAAAGCCAAGTTAATTTCACATCTGCACAGACATCATTTTTATTCTTTGCTTTAAGCAGACCTACCATGCTCTCCAATTCTCTTTATGAGACAGGAAGTGGGGAGTAACTGCCCCACGTGCAACCTCTTTTCATTTCATTAAAATATCACTAACAGCAACAATTATAAAGAAGTTTTTTTGTACCTGGCTCCAAGACACACCAGCATCTGAAACTTGCCATCCTTCCCAATGTTCCTGGGGGTGTTGTTGATAGCAGTGATAAAGCGACAGAAATTCCTGGCCCTCGTTTGCCAGTTCTCCTCTGGGACCATCTCACTCTGCTCAAGGGTCTCATAGTATGTTTGTGCTTTTTCTTAAAAGAATGGTGGGAGATAATGAAGTTCCATCAGTGCATTTAGGAGAGAATTAAAACTGAAAGGCCTAGGATCAAAGCTCATCCATGAATTTCCTGAATCATTACTTTTAGGCATTGTTTTTTTTTCTGTTTGTTTCAGTCCTGTGTTCCCCCTGTATAAAACTGAGATTCCACTTCCTCCCCTCTGAACAGTGCTAAAGAGGTTCACCTATCTATTGAATTTGAGTGCAGTAAAATGATCATGTAAGGGGAACAGCAATGTTAAAGTAGCTACTCAAAATACAGAAACATTATTAAAAATAATTCCTTTTTTAAAAATGTGCATGTGAACTCAGTGGATTTATTTAGCTTTGTGTCAAGGGATCTAGACCATTGTGTGAAAAATACACGCTTATAACTCCTTTATTACAATGTCCAGTACATACAACAGCACTGGATCCATCTGCTGTGCTCTGAAAGACAACTAAACCTCTTACAAGCGTGATTTCTTGCTTTCACTGTGCTCAATTAACAACAAAGTTACCCCATGTCAATTCACCACCCTGTTTATGTGCCTCTTCCCCAGTAAGAAGGGTTGTTTTACACTGTTACTGCCAGAAGGACAAAGCCCAGTTGCTGCATTAAGTAAAGTCAGCTTTGGCAGAAGACAGAAGCGCTCTCTCTCTCTCATGTCAGCATGAGCAGGTAGGAGCTCTCATGGCCACTCAGCTGCTGAGATGCCTCCAACAAGTCTGCTCTTCACACCAGCTGAGACACAACAGCAGTGATAAGGAGCACAGCTGGATGTGTTTCAGACACAAACAGGCTCTGGGATGTCAGCCTCCCACTCACCTAGAAAGTCCCAAATGAAGACGTTCTTGAAGAGTCTCGGTGATTTAAATCCGTGCTGGAACACTTGCTCCAGAGCTGACACAAGTCCACTTTCTCCACACAGCAGCAGGGTCAGGCTGCCTCTCTGCCAGCACACACAGAAAGCACACACTCATCACCTCACCTTGGGACTCTGGGACACAAGTGTCCCACTAAGTTTTTAAATGAACAGATGCGTAAAGTTCAAATCTGCTGTCAAACAGTGACCCTGAACAGGATGGCCCAGTTCTCACAAGCCCTGAGCATTCAAAAATTGATTGACTTCTCTAAGAATGAGGCTGAGGAAAGCATTGTCAGGGCCTCCCCATCATCATCATCAAACAAAGCCTCAAACAGGCCAAGATAATGAGCAGGTTTTACCTACAATAATTATCACTAAAGAAAATTAGGAAAATTTTCCTCTTTTTTTAAGTAACAGATCACAGACCCAGTGTAGCATGTGCCTCTTTTCAACAAAAATATTTAATGCTCAGTAAAAAACAAAGTCCTGCTTCAGCACATGATGGTAAATTCTATTCTGCAAAACCAGTGCATGACCACTTGAGATTATTACCAATGTGATCACTGACTAGAATTACACTGGATATGAATCTGTCAGGCCATAATGAATTTAGAAGTCAGGTGTTACAGGAATGTAAGAAAATCCTGACTGCCAAGAGCCATCCATCCAGACCCAGCACTGCTCTACACCTCTCTGGCTCACAAGGGCTGGACAGGGGCAAGATACTTAAGTTTGTTTCATAAAATCACTGCTGTGTCAGCTGATCACATGTGTAATGCAAAAGAGTCTTGAAGAGCCCTTCTGCTTCACTTTCTTGGGGACGTGGGTGTTTTAGGGGTGCCCTTTGTTTCTTTCCCTTTTTTTTAAAATGGCCCATGGGTTTTTGTGTTTTAAGTAGCAAGATAATGCAAAACAGACATTAAAAACCTACTTAGAACTCAATGCAGATGCAAAATATCCGTTAATTCAGAACAAACTAAACAGTAAGCAGTGCTCTTGACAGTGTATGGATAGAATCCTTGGTGGAATTTGACTAACAGCACAATTTCCAATACCAGAATGTTAACATTCAATTTAACAGAATGCTCCACTTAGCAGCAACACATAGGTATTTGAGGCTGTGCTACCTCAGTATCTCATTTTTGCTGCACTTCAGGAATTCCCAAGCACATGGCTGTTCATTCAGTTTAGTAACTTCTACTACATATTCTCTCATGTTTACTATTCAGAGTTTTAGGACAGGAGTGCCATTACACAGACAACAATCTCTCACCTCCTTCTCTGGCTTGTGGAAATGCTTGACAATACCATTAACAGCTTCACCAATAGCTTCTTGTATCTGACCAGTATTTAACTCTGCAAAACACAAAAATATTTCCAGTTACAGCTTCAGAAATTGTACCTTGTGTGTACAGCACAAAGCACAGCAGAGGAGCACAAATATAATTCCTTCTGTTAAGGAAACAGTGCTGGGCTGTGGGTAATGGAAACCCAACTCTACATTTATTTATTGTTGAGGAGGTAGGAATGGAGATGGTTTGGTTTTATATTGAAGTTAACACTGTGGTGTTTCAAAACACCCACAGTAGAAAGGGTTTTCACACGTTATGTGAATGGTCAGACCAGGACCCAAAGCTAAGAAAAAGAGCAGTGCTTTGTTTGGGACTGACAAATCTGGGCATCCTGGAAATACCTCCTGTGGTAGCTTCCCTGCAAACCCAAGTATGGTTGGGAACAAAGTAAGCACCTGATTTATCAGAAATAAGACAACCACAGAACACTGACCTCAAGAGCAAACAAAGAAGTCTGTGAATAGAAACCACTAGCAAGATTCTTCATCCATGAAGGACAGACAGAGAAAAGGCAGCAAATTTCTACCTTCCTCTGTAGCATCCATGCCACAGGTGAAGGACAACAAAAAAAAACCAGGAGCACAGGCACATCTGCTACCCTTTCAGATTTCAAAAGTTAAGTAGACAGAACAGGATGCCCAGGATTGTAATTTGGAAGTTAGTTGGAGTTCAAGCAGGACACTGGGCTGAGTTTCAGAGGCTCTCCCCAAACTCCAGTTGTGTTTGCAAGCCCTCAGGTGATGATGCAGAACAGGACAAGACAGGACAAGCCCCAGCACTCACTTGGCTTGTTGTTTGGTGAGATAGTGACAAATCTCCTGATCATGCTTGGAGACTGCTGCAGGGGAGGGGTCCGGCACTGCCGCTCGTCGGCCTCCGTGTGGGAAGTCAGCAGCTCTCCCACCAGGATCCTCTCCAAGCTGCCATCATCCATCCCCTTCCCCAGCCACCTTCCACAGGGAAACCTAACAACACCAGGGAGATAAATGCATCAATCCAGATTCAATTCCATGCCAAAGACTTTCAGCTGCTGTTGCCTAAAGCCCAAATCCTGCTAGCATAGTTATTAGAAAGACTTCATTCACCCAGCACCAAGTAATAAAGTCTTGGCTTTGGCTTTTGCCAGCACAGGCAGCAAAAGTCAAACAGCTTTTCAGTTCCAAGTTTGTGCTGAGTGTTGCAGTAGATGATCCATCCACAAAGCAGATTTTGCCTGAGTCCCACAAATAGCATGATTTGAGGAAAAATGGGTAAGAGGGGAAATCCTACAACATCCCATGGATGGGTGAAGAAATGCACTGAATATGTTACATAGCAAGCCAGGTGTAAAAGAACCCCACAGCCCAAACATATGCTTAAATGCCAGAACACCAGTACTTCTACTGAATTGGGGTATTAAATCAGACACTAGAAAGCACACATGCTCATTTGCTCATTATCACTTCTTCTGAACCAATGTTGATGGCAGTTTAATCAGCTTAATTAGAAAACTGAACAGCATCCAAAAACAGAATCTTTCCTCTTCATTTAATTACAAATGAACTGGCATGGAGAGCTGAGTGGACTTGCCCACCAATTTGACATCAACATGAGCCTGACAGTTTCCCTAAACAAAGGACAGGGCATCAAACTATGCTGTATCTAACACAAATAAATTTAATTCTCACTCTAAGTTTCATTCCTTTACTCTCCCCATGTAAACACAGGTTTCTAACACTCATAAGGCCTTGTGTTCCAGCTTGTGTCCAAAGGTGTCTCTGTAACACCTGGAGTCCCCAGTCCTAATATAAAATATCACCTATATTTGGTAAGCAGCAAGCCCTGACTTGCTGTTTCTTCCTTGGGCTCAAGGCAGATTATTTCTAAGCTGCACAACAGTCAACTCATCCTCTCCCCCAACAGTCTGATATGAGACATGAGCATCTGCAAACTGCAAACCCTGTTTGAATTCAGAAGAACCAGGATTTGTTTAATGCCAGAAGCCAAACAATCTTTCTGTGCCTTCAGGTCGAGGCAGCTGTAGACACAGAGTCCCAGGAGATCAGACCTTTCTAATCGAACAAGCCCTGCTGTGCCAGCTCCCTGCAGGAATTCTACTTACCCATATGAAATGTCAGGGTGATACTTACTTGTAAGTATGCCCTGTTATTTCATTTCTGACCATAACATATTCCACAAGCCACTTGGCATACAGCCCTGAATTATCATGTCCTATTTGCACTGTGGTCAGTTTTCCCAGGTTCTGGCACTGTAAACAAAACAAAGAGTTTGTCAGAGGAAACTGAAAAAGAAAGCAGCATGTTGGGGGAATAAACTATTAGGGAAGGTGCTCAGACAGAAACTCAGCAATGTGGTTCCTGTTTCTGACTGCATGGTTGGTTCTGGGATTTTTAGTGGTAGGCTGCTTTACTTGGTTTTGTTTGCTTGTTTTGTTAAATACTGTTTTGATCTGCACAGAGCAATCAGCTGAACTAGATTTTTCAATTCAATTTCACCCAATGAACACAACACACATGCAGAAATCAGAGCAGAATCACTTCTTTGTTTTCCAACAGAAGAGGATATGACACCTCCCACAGCTGTAACATAAAGACAGTCTTGTCTATCCCTTGCACTAAGGAATTGTCAGTCATTTTACTCTGCATGTTATTAAATATAGGTTAAATGTGCTATGCAAAGACCCAAACTATCTGTGACAAGCCACAAAGATATTCCATATTCATTCCACAGGTTAAGGACAATACAGAAAACATCACTGGACCAGGAGCACAGACACATCTGCCACCCTTTCAGATTTCAAGGTGCTACAGCAAGGGGAGAATTTAAAACAGAACACTCCAATCAGGCTTTGTATCAAGTAACACAAACCTCAAAAGTCATTTCTAATATGTTCCTGGGAATCTGCAGGACTCCTGTTTCACCCAGCTCCCCCGAAATACAGATCCAAGGATTGGCTGTGAACATTGAGCCACCGAGTTTCTTGCTGGGAACAATCAAGATATGGTATGGTATCACTGCAAACGCAAAAGAAAGAACACTTCAAAAATGAAGAAGAATAATTATGTAACCTCTTTAGTCAAGAGAGGAGCAAAAGATAAGCCATAAAACAGCACTGCAGCACCATGAAATTAAAAGAACATCAGAGATCCCAGTTAATCATGCTGACACTTGCACACTAAGCACTGACTGAAAATGGGCAAGTGCACACATACACAGCAGCCACTAAGAAGCAGAGCTGACAGCAGAACAGTGTCAAGTGAAGAAATAAATTTGGAAGGAATAATGCCTTCTTATGAGTGTAATCCCTTTTTATTTACCAACCTCACAACATGGCACAAAGACTTACTTATCCTCAGCTTAGTGACAAGGAAGCAAAGACATGATATTCCTGTACCCAGGAGTGCACTGTACACCTCCCCCAGGCCCACTCAGGTTCTAACTGCAGGCTTTCTTCACAGGCATGGATGGCAGCAGCATTCACTGCCATGGCTGAACAAATCCAGTGAAAATACAGCATAATGCTGCACATTTCTCTCTGCCATGTCACTCTTAGTTATGTTAACTTTAGGACTTATCAATCTCTCAAAGAACAAGCAATTTTTTTCCCTTCTAAACAGCACCACACATATGCTCAAGTGCTTTCTGGTCCCCTGGTTTACCTGTGAGTGATTCCATCCTGAGCTGCAGTCCCTCCTCTGACTCTCAAGGCATATGCTCTTCCACCACCCAGCATCTCCTGCCCAGCCCTCTGATAACCAACCTTTTATAATAAAATCCAATTCTCTGAATGGTCACTGTGTTTCTTGGCTTTCTGCCCTTCTTTCATAGTGCATAAGCAGATTACAGTCAGGGCTTTTCAGATGTGGCATTTAATGCATTTCTCCCTGAGCATCTCCTCAGCTGTCAGTGCCCTCGAGAAAGCATTTGGTGGTTGGATTTTCTTAAAAGCCCAATGCTCACAGCATTTAAGAATGAATTAAAATGTTTCCCTTTTTATTTTCTGTGCTGATAGTCTTAAAGTAAGTGACAATTTAACTGCATCCAGCAGACCAGATTTTCACATTATCCCAAACTTGCCTGCAGACCAAAAGCTGTTTTGCTTGGATGTCTGTTTGCTTTGTCTTTCATACACACAAGTGTGAATCACAACACAGCACCAAGGGTAGCCTTTCACATATCCCACCCCCAATTTCATAAGCCTTGCTAAAGTCTTTCCTTATTTTGCCTTCCCAGTGATGTCCTGTGGCAGCAGGCATACAAATCTTTGAGAATTCTGTAACACAGTTAAGTGTTATAGCTATCAACAATAGCCTGAAAGTTTCTCTAGGGTATCTCTTTAACAACCAGAAGAAAAAAAATTGTTGAGGAGTTCTGATGCAACCCTCAAAGGGCATTTCATTGTTACCCCAAACTCAGAGTCAGGCATGCAGCAAAGTAGCCGGAGCACAAAAAAGGCAAAAAGGACAGGTTTGTTTTCTTTTAATTCCCAGCATGCATTAATATTCTTGACAGTGAACATCCCATACTGTACTTATTTAGTATCATACAAACAAGCCCACCACAAAAATTTCAGCTGACAACTCACCTCTAACTAAAATTATTAGAGCTATGTACTTTACTAAGTTAGAAACAAGTGACAGGGACAGAAACTCCTGCCCACCAGAGAAGATCATGGAAACAGCAATACAGCACACACAGATGAATCCCAGGGGAAAAAAGCAGAACCATTACATTAGGGCATGTTGCTCAGAGCTATTTAGAATTTTGGACAAGGACTCAACCAAATCTAGAAATCAGAGCTGCAGAGAAAGCAAATACTTACAGATTGTTGTGAAAACATTGGTGAAGCAGAAGTAATCCACAGCATTGAATGACAGGAGATGATACAGGAACTGCTCCTTCTCATCATCGCAGCGGAGGAACGCGTAACGCTTGTAGAGCTTCCTGACAAAGCAAAACACATAATCTGTCACAGCAACAAGATGCTCCCAGAGAAATGTTTTCTACTGTGCACATTTATTAGGTACACTGTGAATAATGGGCAAGCAGTCACAAATGAGGAGTGATACTGGGAGAGCCAAGAGTTTTCAGTGTGCCAAGATACACTGAGTCTCTGCAAGGCTGACATGGCCAAAGTGAATCAGTCCAGCTCTCATTATCTTCCACCCCTCAAATGTAACATTTGGTTTAAGGGTCTTCTCCCATCCAAAAACACCCCAAGATGGAAAAAGGAATTTTGCACTTTCTTGAAAAATATTCTGACTTCTTTTGACCATGTAACATGACAGAACTGAAGAGAGTTCTCCTAAGTTACTTCTGAGTAGAAAGTGCCATGGGAGAGCTCTCCAGCACATGATGTATGACAGAAGAATGTTCTCAAAGGACATCAGGCAAAAACTGGGGCTATCTGGTTGTATTTGGCTATAAGTGATCACCCAGGACCTACAACAACCCGCACATTGATCCAGGGAATAGTTCAGTGTTGACAGTACACAGCTCCTGACATAACCAAACTGACAGGCAAAGGTGGCAACCAAGAAATAATACAAGTGCTGGGCATAATCATAAAAGAAGAGCATGCCAAAATATATCAAAATCCAACTGATGCTGCAGGAATATCTAAAAACCCTCCAGAATGCAGGAATTAGGCACTAGAAATGCTGACCCAGCTGTGGACAGGTTGTTCCTACCAGGAGGGCATCCTGACAACTCCCCTCGGTTTCAGGTATCAATTTACAAAAAAAGTCAGCAAGTCACAAGCAGAAACTTGAAAAACAAATCAATGATAGTCAACAAACAGGCATGTTCTCACTCACATAACAAACCTGACATTAGAGACTGACAGGAAATGTTCAATGAAAATAAAGAGACTGAGCCTTAAATTCACCTGACCTGACAGCAGCCACAAGAGTGGCAAAGCCACAAAAGTCTCACAAAGGTGGCCATGTCTGTGTTGCATTTGCACAATCTGAATCACATGTTTGACAGCCTGTCAGGGTATGTGCTGTCCTGTTTCTTCAAAAGACAAGGTTTCTCTGTTTCCCTGAGCACACAAAGATCTCAGGACATGTGATTTCTTCCTGCTCCCTTTGCAGACTAGAAAGAAACCAAACATGAAACATTTTCCTTATATTTGCTAACAAATGTCAAGTAAAGAGAATGGGATAATTAAAATACCTAACAGCTGCTTCCAAAGGAACAACACACAATCTTGTTAACTGTAAAATGGCAGAAGTTGCACCATTACTTTTAGTACCTCACTAAACTCGGCACTGCTTTCCCTAAGAACAAGTGGGGCACACTTTCAAACCACACTGCCTACAACAGCTCTCTAAGTAGGATATGTAAATATGCAGCATAAAGCACACAAGATTACAGAGAATTGATGTCATCCTGTACAAGTTGCTCCTTTGTTTGTCATTTTCATTTTAAACATATTTTTGCTGCAGTCTCCCTCTGTTCCAGAGAATCAGAATTTGCCTGATAAATGAAGAGAACACTGGCCAGTGTTAAAAGAGGTTTTTTCCTTCTTTTCCTTCTCTTTTGAGGGGGTACATGGAGTGTGGTGGTGTGTGGAAAGTCCTCTCACAGCACGTGCTCTGCATGGGACAAGCACTGCTAAATTTAACCTGGTCCAAACTCTTGACTTCACTGGAGAGGCTTAATCTCAATTTGGACATACAGGCAGATTTATTAGCTGTCCTCTCTCCATCCTTCAGCTTTTCCTCATTCACTGAAGGCCACAGCTTCAGCAGAAAACACAACACAATACAAGACAAGGCAAGTCTCAAATAATTAGCTGTTGGGGTTCAGGGGGATAGGGGAAGAAATTCCTTAGAAGATGGTGAGTGGAAGGATAGGAAAGGAAAAGCAGACAGCATAGGTTAAGCTGCCTCCAGACAGAAGTTTCAATTAAAATTAATGACAATTACTATGGCTTTAATTCCCACACAGTAAACATTATGAAAACAATTCACCTTATGTTGCTGAGCAGGCTATAAATGTAAAAACACATGTCAAGAACCCCAGCATTGGGGTTACCCAATTACCCTAATTCCCAAATAACTCACACACAGTTTGTTCCATGCCTTCTGTACACTGCTAAGCAGATACAAAAATAGGCACACCTGGATTTTTTAAACCAAACAATTACATAGACTTTAACTTTTTTTAAAGCTTGGCCCAAGATAACTCATCTTACTTTGTGAGTTCATGATCTGAAAGCAACTGCTTCAGATGCCTGGAGAGCAACTTCTTCTCCATAGAGAGGCGAACCCAGGCTCTGGCCTTGCCAACATCTGTTTTGATCTCACTGATGTTCTGGATATGCCTGGAATTAAACAAAAAGACATGCTTGGTATTGTTAAAGCATGACAGCTCTTTTGAACCAAGCTCAGCTCAAGTTTTCCAAAGAACAGAAAATATCAGGTAAATTATAGAAAAAGAAACATAATCGCCTTAATATTCAGCACAGTAAAAAAATCCCTGCAATCTAGCTCAAAGAGAATAAGAGCCTGAAAAGGAAATATCTGCAATGCAGTGCCCTATTTACAAAATTCTAAACCAGGCCCATTGTCTCACATGATTTAGGACTCATTCTGGACCTTATCACTGCAATATTTATGGCTGAATGCTTTGGAAAATTAAACACTGTCTTTGCATGCTCAGTAGAAGCTTTTCTTGCACACAAGGCACAAATGGTATATTTTAATAGGGCAAGCAAATCCTCAATTCACTCTTCCCTACTGAAAAAAATGGATGCTGTAAGGAAAAAGAAGGAAAAGACAATTCCTGCCAAGGTTGTTTCAGAAGTTCTGCATCTTGCTTTTTCAGTGTACTGAAAAGAAGGCATTGGGCAGTAGTTTTATTTACCCTACAGTACTGAATGTTAGATAAACCCATTCTTTAGATCAAACAAGCTTTTTAAACTGCATTCTTCCCTGAGAAGCAAAAGTGGTCTCAGAACTCTGCAACCAACTCAGCAATGACTGGGAAAACACAAACACTACACCCACACCTCTGTGGAAATAAACCAATACACAAAATATTAAAAATATGAAAACCTTGTCACGGTATTTCCATAAGTTAATAGCTCTGACAATGTAAAAGCTCCTCAGTATGAAACCTGTTTCTGTAAAGGTCAATGAAAACACCGAACTATCTATGTTAAAACAGCTCAACAGGTTCCTTCCCCACAGCCCCTCCTGCTGCATGAAACACAGGATGGTGCAGACACAGAAACAAGTGTGCAAATCTCAGGGGGTTTCTGGGTTGTTTAACAGCTCAAACTCACCTCATATCCTGGATGAGAGAGATTCTGAGAGGTGACATGGCTGGACTTGTATCAGACTTTCGTCTTTCTGAATCAAGAAGTATTCCTAGGTTCAGAAGAAAACAATTTCTTATTAGCAGAAATCCATCTAAAGAGTCTAAAATCAATATTAAAAAGAAGGTGAATTAATGCCAATTTGCACTCTTGTACAGCTGGTGACTGTAAAGGTACTGTGGTGCATTTCCACTCCAAATTACAAGAAAATCTAATAATGCTATACAGATGGTTCTACAGATCAGCACACACTGAGCACTAACACATCACTGAGCTTAGATTCAGCTGAGATTGCTATGACATCAAATGACTTAAGACATATAGTAATCAAGTGTTATTTTCTAAAGACTGCCCTGTTTTCTTGCTGTGCAGTAACCCTGAGTGGCACTACTGACACCAGAGAAAAATGTTAAATATGTCGTAGTCAGTACACCACACATCCTGTGCTGCCTTTAGTTTGCATACTCCTGTAGCACTACTTTTTAAACATCACATTTCGGGGTTTTCAAGCAATATTATTACTCTTACCTTTCAAATTACACTCCAGAATGAAGTTCTATGTTGGATACAGTCCCTGCCCTCAAACCCAAGTTAGAAAGCAAGGAACTGATTGGGCCTTATTCTGAGACACAAAACCACTATGAACTAAGGGACATTCAGGAGACCTTAAAATTTCCAAATCTATGGTTTTGCTTGCTTACAGGATCTTGTGCATGTTGCTAATACTCAAATCTTTGCTTACAGCAGCTTTAAAAAAATAAAAGGCACCCACTGCCTCGCCCAAACCTATTGTTCTCTCCAAATTTATATTCTATACCCCAACCTGACACAAGAAGTAATGTTTACAAATTACATTAATAATCCTAAAAACATATTATCAGTGGATCTTATGCACAAAATTGTTTCTACTGCAACACTTGATGCAACAAAAATTAAAATCTGTTTCTTCAGTTGAAGTTTCTAACAGTAAGCCTCCTGTTCAGTTGTTTTTCAAGCCATAATGTAAAACTTCAGGGTGTACAGCACAAATCTCTGTGCTTGCACTGTTTTCCACCCTGACCCATAAGATCATTTTGCTCTGCAGTCTTGCAGGACCTGTGCGTCTCATGGAGGATGATTTACCAGAGCAATCCATTTCACAGGCTATCTCTGAAGCATCAGCTGTTTCTGGGTTTCTGATTACCAATCCAGACCCAAACAGGTGGGCACAACACAAACCAGTTTATTTTCCATAAAACATACTGAGACAACACACCAGGCCCATATTAAACCTGTAGGAGCCATAACACTTGATTCAGTTAAATAGAGTGAAGGGTATTTCCAGGGGAAGAAACTGTTTGGTGTAAATCTGCAGGCAGCTCTTACTCACAGCTTTTAATCATCTTCTTCCAGCAGATGCCAATCTTACCTGAGGTACTGAAGCTGCCTGATGTGGTTCTTCTTTGTCTGTTCTCTAAGTAATGTAACAGATGAGACCACAAAGCAGACTTTCCCTAAAATGAAACAATATTAAAGAAATCACTACCTGAATCAAAAAAAAAAAAAAGAAAGTTAAAACACGATTGAAAGTATCACCCATGACAAAAACTTGCTTTCAAGATGTTTCTACTTATAAACTCAATGATAAAAACCAAAAATAAGACAAAAGTGGGAGGAGCTTGGGAGTTGTAAAGAGGCTGAGAAGGAAAAGCAAGAGTCAGACTACTGGGATCTAATGATGCTGGAAACATGAAAAAAGTCAATGGAACTTCTTCCCTCTTAGTTCATTAGCATACAAGAGAACACTCAAAGGCTTGTAAAATGCTGTGGAGTTTCAAATCTGAGGCTGTGACCTGTCCTGTGGGTCTCTCCCTGCCTCTCCAGAGTAAATGACAAGGGACACAGAGCCAGCCTGAGACACCCAGGCCAAGCCCTGCTCCCCTCAGGGTCATTCAGGGCTAAGGATAAATGATGCCCATTTCTACAACCTCAAAAGATTCCCCTCAATTTCATCAAGCAAAGCACCTGCATAATCACAAACACAGTAAAATATCCCAAAATAAAAGCAGGACAGTGAAAGCTTATCAGCAAAAATACCCCAGTTCTACACACTGTAAAACCAACTTAAAAGTTAAAATTTGGGATGTAGTATTTAGGCCAAGATAAATCCATCATCTGAAGTTAAAAAGAACACCTTGCTCATTATACTGCTTTCTTAAACCCCTGGTGGCTTAAAGCAGAGAGTGAGAAAATCTTTCACTGAGCAGCTATAAAGATTCTTGGATTCATCATAAAATATTTCACATAATAAACCATAAGCTTGCAAACCTGCAAAAAGGCAGCAGTAAGCAAACAGAGGCTCTCCAGCACATCAATTGGAATTACTGACAGATAATTAGTATTACTTATCTTCCTAAAGTACTGTATTAACCTGAAATCCCAGTAAAGATCTAGCAATTCTGCATTTCAGAAAAGCTGTCATATTACGAGGCCATATTTTTATTTACAGCTTTGTGCAGTAAAAAGCCACGACTGTAAAGCAATAGTTGTCAATTCCACACTAGCAATTTCATCTAAAATTATCTAAGTGCCTTCCAAGAAGTGCAGTAATGATAGTTCATCTTTAATTTTTTCTTTTTTTAACTATATTCAAAAATCTCTAACCATTTCCATGCTATAGCTCCCTGCAGCTGACATAATGAACTATTGATCACGAGGGATTATTCCAGAAGTGGCAGGCCTCCAGAAGAATAAATCCTAGACTGTCTGTAACATCTGTGATGACAAAAATCCATTAAAAATATGCATTCAGTGGTGAGGATATTAAAAAAAACCATTGTGCCTTCTGTGTACATGACAGATCCAACAGGGAAAGTCAAAATTCCAAGTCTTATTATAAACAGATAAAAAAGAGCATGAAAATACCACCCAGCAAAGAGTTACATCCAGAACTGAGCTTGCTCCCAATAAACACACACATGCACACACAGTCTAGTGTTCAGCAACCAGCTGCCATGGCAAGGAGAACTGCAACAGATCACAGAAAGCAGCAACCAAGGGTCCTGCAGCAAAGTGATGCCAACAACCATGATGGATGTGAGGACTCATGCAGTGTCTGCCCGCTCCTCCAGCACCGTGGACCTCTCCTTTAACTTCACCAAATAGCAATGATGAGGCAAGCTGGATCTATAGGGGGAAGGAAGACAGCCTAAGGAAAGTAGTGGGATAGAGAATGGGCAAGGGAATAACCAAGGCCTTCTGAAAGTCCAGACTGCTTCAGCCATTAGATCCTGCATCACAACTGCCCCGTGTCGCTCAGGACAACGGAAGGCATGGATTCCCTTGGCATGTGGAAAATCACTAGGTAGCTAATGTAGGACTACTGGGTTCATCAGCAGGGAAGAGGGAGAAGCAGGGATGGGTGGAAGGAAAGCCATCCTCATTACTATGGTCAGTTGAGAAAGAAGAGTCTCCCTTGGTTCATTATTGAAAAATGGAATCAAATCGATGTATGAAACAGCAGGCTTTTGCATATTTCATAAAGGCCAGAGCACACAGAGAACTGGTGGTGCTTTTTTACTTTTGATTTTTTTAAACTGTGGATCATACTGTGAGATACACTGCACTTCCTCCATCAGGTCTCTATTCTATTCCACCACTCTATCTATTCCAGCACTCAGCACTGCTTGCCAACATCTGCAATCAATCCAAAGCATTAACCTTATGAAGGGTTGGCCGTCTGCTGCTCTGAAAGGCCCAAACCTGGCTTGAGGCAGAGTAAACTGATGCTCTGTCTTCTAAGACGAAAGCAGTACAGCTTCTATCCTAAGTGATATACAAGAGGGAAGGGAGAGAATCACATGGTAAATCTTCACATAGAAAACTGTTGGATAGTTTGAAGGAGAGCAGAGTTAAACACTGGTGTTTGGCTGCTGGGAACAGAGGTACTGGATTGCAGTTGGCTGGATTATGAACATATATTCTTTAAAAAAAAAGAAGTTATAATCTTCTCCACCCCTGCTACTCCTTTGTAAAAGGAAGGAATAAAGTTGGTAAAGGCCATCCAAACCCCATCTTGTCCCACAAGTGACTCCAAACAGAAGAGCAAAACAATTATTAATTTCACACAAAACCCCAACACCTCTAGCTAGTGATCTTGTAACCATAATTTAAGTACCCCTACAGCACCCAGGAAGAACCAAAATAGCAAGACTGTTACTTTGAAGTACTAAATTATCCTTCAGGAAAACAATTCCCCCATCCCACTGAGACCGCATTTAGCATAGGCTGCCTTGTAGCCTATGCAACTTCATTAATAAAAATATTAAAAACACACCAATAGTTGGGAGTTTTTTTACCATCCTATTAAATAAAACTACCAAAACCCACCAAACCAATTGAAAACCCCAGGTTAAATGGAGAATCTTCCAAGAAGTCATCTGTGGAACACATCTACAGATACACTTGCACATATCCCACAACACGGAGACACACAGGGGGTAGGAACTGACATAAAAAAGACTGCAGGTCACACAAGTATTTTAACACATCTACATACACACTAAAGGTGTTCTCTGAAAGTAGAGAGAAGAACAGCATAACTCAACTTCAGGAAAGTGTGCTCTGCAATGTGCAGGAATATTTATTCCTCACCTGTTTGACTTGCAGACCGTGGCTCCATATTCTTTCCAAGAGGTCACACAGACTGGCTATCAGGGTGTTCTCTTCCACTCCTGTGATATTCACTTCACCATGACCAAGCTCCACAGCTTCTCGACCCATTTTCTCAACCAACATTCTCTTAGTCTTAAAAAGACAAGGCAAAAGAGAGTTAAATCTCTCCCAGGAATTCCCAAGATCACTTACACTTTTAAAATGACCAATAAGGAAGCACATGCTAACAAAGTTTTGGCAGAATAACTGGCTGTATATATGTATTTCTGGCATTAGTGCAGACCTGCCCTTCCTTTATCCTGGTTTTCAAGCCTGGACAGCAGCAGTGCTCATCTTCTGTTTTTCTAAAAAAGGGTTTGCAAAGGGGCACATCATCCTCCACAGAGTGACCCCAACAAAGGGAACAGCAGGTCCCACACTAACAAGCTGGATGCTCAGCAGCAAGGCCACAAAACAGATCTTGGGTACTTTGGTGCCTACTGGATGCACTCCCCAAGAGCAGGACACTTTGTACCCCTCCTCCCAGGGGAGGTGAATGCACCCAAGTGTTTCCAAGCAGCACAGGTATGTCATTCCTGGGAGATGCTGCTCTGCCAGAAGGGCATTTGGATTAAACCAAACCCATTCTGGAGTGCACCTCTTGAGCTTCCCCATGAGCCAATTCTCCTAAACTGCACAATTTCATACTGCCCACCAAAACTTTCACCAGCTCCTGAAATACAGTCTTCCAGTCACATTCATCATACATGCAACTGGAGGGAAAAATGGTGAGGGAAGCAGTTCCACTTGTCTCTTACATATTTTTTCATCTTTGTTCCTATTCTGGACTTGCTTTCAAATGAGGAATACTCCCTTAAGCACCTCTGCACAGTCTTGCTGGAGATGAAGTCCAAAGTTAGTCCCCTAGCTGCTTCTCCCCCTCACTCCCTCTGGCAATTTCTCACTGTCACAGAGCCAAGTCCACCTTCAAAAACTTTCACCATCTATTGTGCCTCTATTAAGGGATGAGGATTATTTCGACAATTCCATAGATTGAAATCAGAAGTAGATGCACATATTAAATAGAGTTTTATGAAAAGTTGTATATAATTACTGTAGTACCTCTACTACTTTAGGCAAGAATGTGTCTATCTCATAATTATTCTCTTTGCTGTATTTTTATAAACATTAACATTTGCTTCAGATTAATATGTTGTCAAATATGTACTGGTGAAGCATGTCTACAAATTAATGCCAAATTTCTTTCTTAAGTGCTTAAAAGCATACACCTCAGAAATGCAGTTGTGAGAAAAGCTGCTGTATTTTCCCCACAAGCCTCTCTTTTGGACTATTTCCTCCTCTTAAAATTGTACTGTCTCATTAGTTATAACTGAAATGTGCTATAATAGACTTGGGCAGCAGGATGGTAAAGACCCTTCAGAATATTCAATCTCTATCATAAATCTGCTTGATAAAGTCTCTGCTCCTTGCAGAATTTCTGAATACATTATCTCTTCATTAATTTCTCACCACCATGCAAAAATCCTTATAGGGAAAAAGCAGAAACAGATGGTAGAAAAGTGGGGGGGTTTCAAACATCCTGGATACAAAATGGTCCAGAAAGGATGGATATGAGGTGCAGGATATGAGGTGCAGGAGAGCAGGACTGTTCTCTGTATTACCTTATTTCTGCATTCCTTCAACAAGCCTTCTACAAACTTCCAGTTTGTTTGTGCAATTACTGATGGAGAGAGGTTGGAGAGCTTGGGCTGCCGGATGGTGCTGCCCAGGTTCCTGGCTTCCTGGATGTACTTCTGCATTGGGGGACAAAATGGACACAGACAAAAGTGCAAGTGAGACTTCTTGGCTGAGAGGAAAAGGTAAATTTATCTTTATAACCCACACCTCTGGAGTGAAGAGGAAAGGATCTCCTCTTTCAGAAAAGGCCCTTTTTTATCCAGCATTATTTAGGGCTGAGACACTTAAAACTGCTATTTCACCAGAGGTCAGATCCCCATTTATATTGGCTACACAGTATTAGAACACACATTGCTAAATTACAAAACACAATACAAACTGCCAAGGATATTCAAGATGCATAGAGATTCAACTACACCCTACACCACTGTCAATTGTCTTTTTTTTTTATTTAAATGAAAATTTGCTAAAACTGCCCAGACCAAGAGTATTCAAGTGACAGACTGGTCTACATGAGGACTGCAAGAAAACTTTGCTCTTTCAGAAAGCAGCTGCAAAATGCAAATGACAGCAACTACTCTCAGCTGTGAACCAGCTGCATTTTTGAGGAAAATAATTTCCTGAACCCACTCTACTCAAAAGTGCTCTTCTGCTCCTATTACTGCCATCAAGGAGTTGCCTTTGTTTTCACCCCAGGGACAAGAGAGATGTGACAAATATTTTGGAAGCCAGGTGATCACAGGTTGGTTGGGGCACAGCTAAATGACAATTAGTGACAAAGTCCTGTACAGTCACTGATGGAATACTCAGGATTAGTACACATGTCAAATTAAAAGGAAACCTCTCTAGCTTACATTGAAATAATGACCAACTGAAATGTCAGTGAATAGATCTGTCAGACACAACAAAGAGGGAAAACCCCATTTTCTCCGCTGGCCTTGCACTAAAGAGCTATGATATATACATTAAATTATGCATCTTTATCCAGAACTATGATTACAGTCATATTGTGCATTGGACATACCAGATAATGCTCTGACACAGATTTTATAGAGGGCATGAAGGGCCAATCATGCTGGTCCCATAAACATAACTGCAACTGAAGCTCTGACATGGAAAAGTCCAGGTGCTGGCAGGATAAGTTGGTAGCAAAAAGCCAAGCAGATGTAAAGTGAAAGTGGTAAGACATACGAAGTAATAAAAGCAAGCATGCAAAACAGAAAAGGAAAAGAGTGAAGACAAAATACAATGCAGAACTCCCAAGCATTCAACATAAACATAAATTCGTAAGTAATGAATCTGAAAGGAAAAAAGAAAAGATGGTGTTAAATCAGTGGATTGGTGTAAACTCTGCCCTCCACTGGGCACAAATGTTTGCAAGTAAAAAGTCTCCATTGCACAGATTTTTGTTGGCTGCCACAAAGCTTCAATTAGTTTAAAACTCCCAAGGCTGCAGTTTGACACCTCCTGCTCAGCCTGACCCCCAGTATTCATCTCAGCAGAGCTCCCTCCCCACTCTCAAATTTACTGTGGAGTCTGAGGTTCACCCAGGGAAGGGATCCATGTTCATCCACCATTATGTCATCAAAGAGGTGCAGCATAAACCCCTAAAACAGCAGCACCAGTACCACTGGCACTCAGTACCCCCAGCTGAGCATGCATTTCAAAGTATTTATTCCTCAGATATTTTTTGCCTTTTGCAACAGAATAACTCCTATAGGAAATGAACTTGTGAGGAATCAGTTAAAAAACAAAACAAACAAAACACCCCAGAGACCAGAGGTAGATTTTTGCCTTTGTAATTAGCTCAGAAGCTTACATGCTTTAACAATTGTGTTGTTTAGCACAGTAATGAGTTTAGAAATCAACTACTATTAATTTTTGTTACATCTAATAAAAAGCACTTTAGAGTTAGCTGAGCATATGGAACATGTCAAAGCCAGAAACTACTCGTAGAGGTTTTTTATTATGCAGACATTTTTCTGTTACATGGTTATGGATGACAGAGATGACACTATAATTCAACAAAATTTTAACAAACCAGTAAGTAAATTCTGGAACTGAGTACACTAGGAAGACAATTAAATCCATCACTACCATAAAAGGATGAACTGAACAAACACACTTGAGTTTCAAAACACTATCCTAACAGACACAAGACTACTAAAATTCAAAACTAAGCTTTTCTAAGGATATTTAACAAGGCAAAAGAATATTGTTTTCAATGAACAACACACAAACAAAAGCAAAACTCTGAGATTAGTAAACAAATAAAAAACCTCTAAAATTTTGAGCCAGTCTATTCTTGGAATTACCCATAAATCAACACCTGGTGTAACAGTTTGCAGTCTGTACCATATGAATCAGAAACTGTACTGTAATTAGTTCACTTCACCCAGATCTTTCAAAACCACTTCACCACAAAGAAAAACTGTGTCAGCTGTAGGAGCAGTGGTGAGAGATGTTTATCAGTTCAGAAGGTAGGTAAATCAGCATCAGACTGCACTGTGCAAAAACAGGCAGCCACAAATGTGACAGTCTGGGTGGGCTTCACACTCTCACCTTAGCAATGAGGCTGTCTCTCACTCTGTCACCTTAATACTTTTGTTATGGTCTACAGAAGACACTTAGGCCAAAAGGCAATGCTCCTGATTTTAGGATGAAATTAATCCCTTTCTAGAGGTGGTTATGTTTCCTCCATCAAATACACAAAAGAAACACAGGGTCACTACGTTATTCAGAGATAGGAAATAGATGGCTGAAAACTATTAATTCCCCTCTTCCCACTCATCCCCTTTAAAAGAAAAAAAAAAAAAACACAACAGAACAACTTGAAATCATATGATTATATTTTCAGAGAACTCTCCTATATGTAGGATGAAATAATTTTGTCCTGAGAAGGGACAAAAATGACATAACTTTTATAATAAGAAAAGTAAGTATTTTTGGTCTGCTACTTCATTTGTATTAAATACACTTAAGGGAGAGCAGACAAGAACTGCAAGTAACTGTCTAGACATTTCATAAAGGTTGCAGAGCATTTCTCAGGCCATTAGGAAAGAAAAAAAATCAGATCTCTAGAGCTGAGCAATTTTCACCTCTCTCTGGTCATTGTCCAGACGCAGGTGCTCCGTGTGCTGCTTCTGCCTGTCCTTGCGCCTCCACTGAGCAGGAGCATTCCTCTTTGTCCACCTGCACGTGGGGAATAACATCAGCCAAGTGTCAGGAGGCAGGGCAAAGGCAGAGGCAATCAGAGGTTTCCACTTTATTCTATGCATTCTACACTTTGTGAACATGCTGACATCAGTTACATCAGCCAAAGCGCAGCTGCAAACACACACACAAAGAATCTCTGGAATACTGGGCAATCAAAATGGTTTACAATATTCAATCACATACATTTGCTCTGTATTTTTCCTTTTTTTTGGTCATTTTAAGCATTGCCCCTCCCACTTCAAGGTTTTTATAAGAAAATATCCTAAAATATTTGCTAGTTCCTACATAAGATCAAATAAGGGGATCTGCTTTTATATTGACAATAATTGAAGTAACTCAAAGTACAAAAACTATCATCTCAAACATAAGAGTGCTTTCTTCAGTAAATAATTTGCTTCAAGAAGTCTGTATTTAAAAAAGAAAAAAAAATCAAACCACACATAGCAAAAACCCCACCCCACATCATCTGATCTGCTCCCACTTGAAAAAAACAACCCCAAAACTGACTTTGCTTTTTAAGACTTTGCTTTAGTACTGTTCTATAGATCTTGCCAAGATTCAGCACCTGTTGCCTTAGCTTACTCACTTGTTGCTTGCTGGGCCAGTGGATAAAACATCAGACTGAAGCTTAGGAAAAAATCCAAGCTCATATTTCCCTTGTCCAATTTTCATGTCCAGCAAGTGTGGGTGAACTGCAGTGTGATCTATTTTTGCCAGCCTTAATTCAATAGATTTCTCTGAAATAGTAAGAAGGTTAAATTTGTTAAGGTGTTTTAATCAGACATGTATCTATAAACACATATTTTCAATTAAAAGCAGATGTCAAATTAAAGGAAGAGGTGGAAGCTGCTTACTGATTTCAACAGGGACATTAGTACACAACAGGGACATTAGTACAAGAGTGTTTCTGACAAAAAATGCCACCAAAAGGAGAAAAATGTTTATCTTCTTAAGCTCAGACATCTTTCACACACCAAGCATGCAGGAAAACATCTGAGTTCTACCTTACATTAATTTCATCTCACACCTCAACATCACAGAAAACGTTTAGTCCCCCATTTAAGCTTTACATCTCTACTATTTTGATCTGGGTTTTTTGAGGTTTCAAAGCATGAATCATTACTTAATCTAATGTCTACAACAAACAGCACTGACCAGTTGCACTAACTGCCAAGCAAGTGCCTCATGGCCCTTACCAGCCTCATCAATGGTTGTGCATTTCTGATACATAGATGTGCGCAGAGTCGGTGTCCTGACATTCAGCAGCCTGATTTTATCCACCCTGGAATCAAAAACTCTCAAAACAGGGTCCTTGTCATCTTCATCATGGCACATAATCTTATTGTCAATGAAGGAAGCAAACATTTGGGTCTCCAGGAATCTCGAGAGGAAAGGCAAGTAAGGTTCAGGCTGGTCAGACAAGAAAGAAGCCTAAGAGACAGGAAGAGATAAGAGTGTTTGGGAGTCTGCAAAGAGAGACACATCCACCAGAAGCACCAATTTTTCTGATCAAGCATGTATGAGAGTGCTTTGGTGCCACTTAAAGCCTGGGTTTATTATACACATCAATTCTATCCCCAAAACAGGCAGTCTGTATGAAATTTTCAGAATCAGGACAATCACCTACTGTACAGCACAATAACTGGTACACTGTGATTTTAGCATTTCCTTCATCTCCTAAAAATTTCAACAGGATCCCAGCAAACCACACCATCAGTACTGCAGGTGTGCATATTTGCTACTTCTGGCTGGGCTCACAGCTTGTGAAATCAATGGGAATCTTTTCATACAACTTGGGGGGAATCACATGAATATTTTAGCAGACAGTGCTGCAACAGTCGTCATCCATGTGAGCTCTCCTGCTCACAAATACCTCCAGCAAAGAAGACAGAGCAAAAATTTGACGAACTGGGTCTTATGTTTCTCTACAAAAGAGTTAGGAATACATTTGGTGCACATGTGCATAAGCATTATTTGGGGTCATGACTGAATTCATTAACATATTTGGCAATTGCTCTGGTTAAAAATCAAACAGTTTCCACTTGTAATATTTAACCTTAATGTGGAGGTTAGCTCTTAAGACAGACTTTCTAAGCTTTTTTTGCAAGAGCAAGCTGCATTTTAATACAGTATTCTTGAGAGAATCTTTAGCTCTCCAAGTCTGTATTTGTATATACTTTTCCACATATTTTAGATGTGACTTTTTTGGGAACACTGAAATTTAAAGAAGAAATTACCTTTTTTACAGTACAGTTTTCCATCTGATGGCCCAATACACAAAGCCTTAAGTTTGAGTACTGTTTTACCTCTTACATTGATCTACCTTTTTATTACAACTTACTTTATCAAAGTTTTGCATCTGTTCTCTGTTTGTAAACCAGGATTCCTTGTCCTGGCTGGGCTGAATGACAAACACTTCATAATCTGCAAACATTTGTGTGAAGCGGTTGGCAAAAACTTCCCGAATCTGAATGTTCAGCTGGTAAATCTTGAATTCTTCCTCATCACACTGAATTTTAAGATCCTTTTTGCTACTGGTCTCTTCTCGTACCTCCAGCTGAAAAAGCAAGGGAAAACACAAATAATTTGTATTGATGCTTTGTCAGGTATTCCAGGCATACACGATTTCATGTGCCATTCAGTTGTTACTCTTCAAGTCAACATTTCAATAAAGAAAAATAATTACTGTAAAGAGCAAAATCAAAAAAATGCAGACAGAAACCTTTGCCTAGAAAATTTCTCATAATAAACCAAAACTTACTTTAGTACTGTTAGCACTAGATATGTTTTAAATTTAAAAAGGGTAAATAACAACCATATACATGCCCATGCATGCCACAGACTTAACTTTCTCTTACCCTTCAACCACCTCTACAGGCTTTTCAAAGGTTCTTACTATCCCTAAAAACTTGCATGTTAGGCAAATCTATATCTGGTGTCAAATAACTCCAGGTTTAGAGCTGCTAAACACATACCAGCTTTCAAATGAAGACAAATGCACAGTAACAAGAAGCTGTGCATGACTAGCACCCAATTGCTGTAGCCTAAGTCCTTAGCAGTGTAAATCACAATTCCCAACTATACAACTCAGAGCAATCTTAAGAAAAGAAAAGGCATTTTCAGTTAAGATGTGGGCTAAAATTTATCAAAAAACCAATAAAATTAAGATATTCAATTCATAGGGGGGAAAAAATCACCAACAGTGAAAGTCTTCACTCCATTCCACAAAAGCTCAAAAAACTCCCAGGTCTTTCAGGTAGTATATTTTATGCACAAAAGGCTGCAATTTGTTTTTTGTTTCACAATTCTAATCACTCAAAAAATCCAATCAGGATCACCAAGTGCATGTCCATTTGCAGGGAATCAGACAGTCATGAACTCTGCAACATTAACCAGAAAAAAGCATCACAGTAACCTCATGGCCAATATATTACATATAAGCAAAATAACCTATATTCTTGACAGAATGAATAAGGTATCTATAGAAGACTGGATGCAAACTTCAGCATTATCTAGATGTCAATTTTAGCCACTTAATGAATTAAATAGTGGCGCAAATTTAGAATAAATCTTAAAATCAAGAATTAACAAGGCAAAGTGCTATTTTAAAACACATTATTTTGGTAAAGAAACACTTGGTGGATAGCAAAGGTTCTCCCAGATGCTGCAGGGATAAATCCCATTCCCTCTCTCCCCTAAGCTTGTCCTTGTCTCTACAGGTGCTCACAAGGATTGAGAACATGAAGGAAGAGAAAGTTCCTTCTAGTGAAGACAGACATCCAGCATCTTTGGACCATGACTTCAGCCCATCTGCCACTGCAGGACCAGAGAGATGTGCAGCTCATTTCATATCTTACCTTTTCCAGACTCACACCTGTTCTTTTAACAAGTGCTTGGAGTCTTGCAATAGTCTCATTTTCCTTTAGCAGCTCATAGGAATTCAGAGGTGATCCTGCTATGTTCCCATTTCTTTTATCAGAAACCAGGTCACATGCTCTGAGGCTCTTCATCTTGGAGGCACTTTCACTGCAGTGCAGGTTTCCCTCAGGTGGAATTCCAAAAGCCATCAGGATCTCTGAAATTTCCTGAATGAACTCAAGTTTATTTGGAAACTGGGGTAGATCTTCTGGCAGCTCAATGAAATGGTTGTCTACATCCACAAAGCACAGGTTTGCCTGGGATTTAATTTAGAACAGGACACCATTACAGCACCACTAAGCACATTATTAATCTTTGGGATTTGTGCTTACTTAAAGATTCAAATATATTTGCATTTTTTTGGTTATTTTGTAAAACAGAGTTGCCCCAACCATAACTGAACTGGTTGGTTGGCTTTGAAGAATGTAACAAAAGACTTACATTTCCAGGTCTTTTGAGGAGGCAACTGAAAAAGAAGACTAATTTTACAGACATTTACTACATACAAAATAGATTATAACATAAATTAGGTACAGATGTGTGATTTTTTCCATGTACAGGTAAATTTTAACCACAGGATAGATGCAATTCTATTTTATACATGTTTGTATAAAAGCAGGTGACTGCCTGTTGTTTAGATTATCAATGCATTTCTCTAAAAGATTTAGCAAATTTCCATCTAAAAGATAGGCTGATACTGCAGAAGTGCAATGAAGTTATAATCCCTTTTTCTGTAAGCAACAAAAGGCAATTGCCTGACAACTAAGGCAATTCTTTGAATGAGCAAGTTTGTTTCCAAGGGGAAAAATTAAATTAAGTAGTTTCCATTCTGTTTTTTTGTTCCAATCTCCAACTCATTTACCACCAAAAAACACCAAGGTGAGGAAAAAAAAAAAAAAACAAAAAGAAAAACCACTTATGTGGCTTCCACAGCAAGATCAAAAGAAGCTTTGCATCTTTCAAGGTTTACCTCACTCTTTATTTGGCAAGGAGGGAGGTCCCCCTTTTGCCTTCTGCATTGCAAAATCAAATGGGTACAAGACATTACATAACTACACACATCACAGCAAGAACCCCAGTCATGTGTGAAACCTGCCTGGAAAGTTAAGAACAGAGAAGTAACTTTGCTCTTCTGTGGAAGCATTTCAGTTTCTGTTCCTTGCAGAATCAACATGGACTGTCTCTGTTCTGTTTAACCTTCACCATACAAAACATTTCACTCAGAATGTGTGGTACTTCCAACCTAACTGCATTGCATCATTCTAGGAGCCATCCCTGAATTCAGGCCTCACTACAGCTTGGCAGCAAAAACACTTTCCAGGTCTATGAGAACTGACAGATCTCCAGTTACTCCCTGTGATTCAGTAAGTGCAGGAGGATGGAAGCACCACCACAATTTAATTGGAAAGAAATAATTAGAAGATATCAACCTCACATGGAATAAATGGTGAATGATCCCAGAAATCAGTGCTACAAGGAGTTCTGGTAGGAATTTCTGTGGGACTGACCATAGGTAAACTAGAATAAGCTGTGCCTGATGAGATCTGTTGCTCTAAGTAAACTTATGAAAATATACATTTAGTACTTGTGACAGGTTTCTATAGAACAGAGGGTGTCAACTCTCCTTAAAACACAAATATCTTATTAACCTTCAACATTTAAACTGAAAAAAGAATTCTTAAAGCAGAACTCCACTGGACATATCACACTACCTTGTACAGAACTAGTCCAGTTCATGCCCTGCTACAATATTACCCATAGTACAAAGGAAAGCATAAATCCAGTTCTCTATTTCCTAACGTTCTAACATTTCAATATGGAGATTGATTTCTTATGCTCAAAGGAAAGCATATAAAACAATTTGATATCTCTTGTATAGATGCTTTACTGGAAATTAAATCACAAATTGAATTAGGTGCTGCAAAGGAATCCAAGGTCAATAAAGAGAATTAACACATTGATTCTCAAACAGTTTCTAGTGCACCTTAGAAAGTTTTTATGCAGGGCAGGTGTGATTGCTGAAATTCCCCAAATATCAGCACTGCTCCAAGGCAGCATCTGAAGTCAGAACCTGAACTGAGGAGCTTAAAGACTCCCACTGTACCCACAGTTCTGTGACAACCACAAGCCAAATCAGCTGGGATTTGTCAGAAACACTGTAAGCACTTCAAGGCAGGAGAGAAATAAAGCTTTGAGACCAGGCACAATGCCTACCAATCAGTGCTGAGGGAGAAACAAAAAGCATTGAATTTGCCTCAAGCAGTCTGCAAAACGGCAAGACAGACTCAATAAGAAACTCTTCACACAGTTTAATTGTATTACTTCCTTTTACAACTTTCTTTAATTGATGCCATTCCACTTTCCTTCCTTTTTGGATCAGATTCTGCAGAAAACATCACTCTTGCTTAATAAGCTTGGTTGTACCCACAAAGCACTTGGCCAAAAAGAACTCAAACATTAACCTTACCCATGCAGAAACCCTAATCCTCACACTGAAATTAAACTCCTTGCTAATGGAAGGAAAAGCCAAATTCATTGTTTGCTAAAATTGCTTATAAATATCTGGGCTAACACCTGGTTAATTCTTCCAATATGTGATTTTCTCTTCTGCAGGGCTCCTCTCTAAGAGCAATACACACAGTTTAAATACACTGAGCTCCCAACAATGATTGCTTATCTTGCAACTTGTAATTACATTTTCTAGAAACTGGCCTATATGGAAGCATTTTTTAAAAAGTCAGTGAGCAGCAATACTCTAAATAGACTGTAAAGAATATTTTCAGGGACACTCTGTAGTTATCCAGTGCCTGGTAAATAACACATAAGATAGAGGACTATCCATGAGCAAAGATTCCATAGGTGACTTCAGCCTCTCTGAACTCAGGAAAGCTGAGGTCATCCTCAAGAATTTCACAAAAACTTCTGAACAGGCCATGCTCCTCAGGGAACAGAAATGGCAAAAACATCTCCATGCACAGCCCTTCAAGAGGTACCAAACCAGTATTTTTCTATGAAAATGAAATCTGAAGTAAATTAGTGACAGACACCAGAGCAGTCAATCTCACTATGCTGCCACACTGCAGATCCAACAGAATGGAATACAGTAAGGAGAGAGGGCTCCCCTCCTCAAAAAGTAAGAAAAAATTACAAGGCACTCATTATTTATGAAATCATGGTCATCCAAAGCATTTTGCATGCTAGGAACTGGCCAAGTACACAAAGCAGAAAAATAAAGGAGTTCTTTGGCCACAAGGCTTTAGTTATTCTGTCTCTGGAGGCAGCACAGCTGAGTGGGCTGTGAATAGCTGACAGTTCTCTACATGGACACAGTTTATTATTTTACTCACACAAAACTAAAATGATATAAAGACAAGATACTTTGCAATATGTGTAAGTAGAGATATAATTGAAAGAGCATCCTTAAGTTAGGTACTTGGTATTTCAGGTCTCTAGAACAGTCATATTCTTTTATTTGTTGCTTACATATCAGTTTTCTGATCAAAAGAAACCCCAAAACAGTTACACCCCACTTCACTTCAATAGCAGTCTGTCACAGGAGAGGACACATTACATCATCTACAATAAAAGGTTCTCCTGAGACATTACACTAAGGAACAAGGATGTCACATCCTAATTTAAAAACCTGTCCTTCCCATAAACTTTTAGTATTCCAAGTAACAGGGTGTCCAGGTGAAAGCCTTACAAACCTTGGAAATGTGCATCTAAGCAAATCAGTGTTTGTGTGCCTGGTGCCAGTGCCTGTTCCCCTGAAGCCAACAGCACCACTTTCCATGGCCTTAGTGGGGGTCTGGAGCACACCCATCCATCCCAAAAGCAAAGACAACTGCAATTCTTTAGTCTGACCTGAGGTACAATAAGGGCCAAAGCCCCACACAGATCTAGCAGAGCCTGCATCAAGCTCACATCCTTCCTTTCAGTTCTGCTCAAAAGCACAGAAGGAAATTATTCAGCTTCTGCTTCAATACAGCACTGAAAGGCGAAAGCCCACTGATCTCTAGCCTGAATCACCTTTGAGCATTTTCCCCCACCTTACAAACCTTGCAAAGCTCCCAGTGCCCCAGCACACAGAGAACATGGATTTGCTGTGTGCACACATGGCTGACTTGGGACAAGGGTCTACAGAGGGCCTCAGTTCTGCAGGATGCTCCTGGGCTGTCACAGACATGCTTTATGAAAAATCATTTCCTTAGGATTTTTCCTCCTGAGAAGCTGAGAGGCCTCAGGAACAAAATGTAAACAATGGTTATCTGCTGCTGTGGAATGCAACAGGTGGGTCTGTGATTGGTCTCATGTGGTTGTTTCTAATTAATGGCCAATCACTGTCAGCTGGCTTGGAAGAAGCTTTTGTTATCATTCCTTTTCTATTCTTAGCTAGCCTTATGATTAAATCCTTTCTTATATTCTTTTAGTACAGTTTTAATATAATATATATAATAAAAAAAAAAATCAAGCCTTCTGAAACATGGAGTCAACATTCTCATCTCTTCCCTCATGCTGGGACCCTTGTGAACACCACCACAAAGTGCCACTCCCTCTAAGCCAGTGGGGACCTCCTGCACTTACTGTCAGCACTGCTGTCCTCCATGCCAGCCCACTCCCAGAATTTGGGAGTGAGAACAGCTAACAGCCCAAAGCCACTGCAGCCTTCAGAAACTCCTCAGGTGGCTGCTCACACTGCAGCACAAGAAAATATAAAACTCTGGTTTGCCAAGAAATTTGCAGTATTATCAAGGATCAAGCCAGCAGCAGACAGCCTGAGAATGCATACAAAGCAGTGATTATCTTTCAATAATTATCTTGGTCTAATGTGCTAGCATCAGAAGAAAAAATGCTTTTCAGGAGACCTTTCTTATCTTCTGAAACAACATACAAAAATAAAAACCCACAGAATTTCTTCAGGTTTAGCACTGAATCATCCTTTTAATGGCTGAAATAAAAACACTGAGATTACATATAATCTGTCTTATACTAGCAGCAAAATGCATTTTAGGTTTTAAAGTCTTTCAACTTTTAACAGAAAAAGCTACTGCCCAGGACCCTTGGGATCACTTCATTAAAAACAGGCCTATTAATGAGGTACTACTTTGATTTCACCAGTGCTGGAAACTCAGCATTGCTTAGTTCCACTGAAAATAATTTAAATTTCTACCATTCTCCTAAATTACAGTGGTGAGATATACACACAAATCCTGCTGCATGAAATGGTTTAACTTGTTTGTTAAAAATGTATTTCTGTAGCACTGCAGAAGTTTCTTTAGAAGGAAATGCAAACACACATCAAAAAACCCTATCTTAGTTCAGTACTTGCTAGGTTTGTGATCTGAGAGGAAGCTGCTAAAACCACTTTTATTGATGAGTTTCACTGATAAACAAAGCACACTTCTGCCAGCAACACCTAAAACAGCCACAGGTTCTTCCCTTCCCCTCTGCCATCTGCAGCACCCCATTCTAGCACAGCTTTTCCATGCCCTCCCTTCCCTCCTGGGCTCCTCACAAGCCAGGGAAAGCACAAGGATGCTCCTGCACACACAGAGCCCTCAGCACAGCAGCAGCACCTGTGGGAAGGAGCACTCTGCTGCTGGCATGCACAAGCAACTCAACTTAATTCACACCAAACCTCAGCATTTCCTGGTTTTACTGGGCTGCAGAGTCAGCTCTGCAGGTCACTGCTGGTCTTCAATGAATTCTCCACCAGGAACTGCTCCGATGTACCCAAGGGATAACCTAAAACTGAATTTTGTACTAACACAACATTTTTGTTGGATATTTTAATCATCACCTGCTGCAAGCATTAACTTCTAGGATTCAGCTGGATTTCCATGCTGTAAAGCTGGAAACACCAGATGTGACCCAAATATGAGAGGCTGCCACCAGAACAAGCCTTAAGGGCATACGTGTGCAAGACTTACACCAAACCAAACCTAACTGAGTTGGGACAGACAGTATTCTCACATTATTAGCCTAAAACACTTTGAGCAAAACAAATTAGTCCTTTTAAAACTTCATTATAAAACCACAATGAAGAAGTCTACAGTGGCACTGAGGTATCCATGCTGTGCTAGACAGCAATATTATTTTCTTCCACAATGCCCTTCAACTGAGAAGCACTAACTAGATTTTCTCTCAAAGCTCACCTGTCTGGCCCCTGCTTAAATCTGATATTGCTTTCTTTTCCAGCAGCTGTCCCACACATCCACATAAATAGATTAGGAACAGAGATGCAGCTTAGGCAGTTTCAAGACAAAGAAAAAAATTTTTTTTTCAGAACTCAGAATAAATTACAAGACAGAACAGCTCTTTGTATGCCCTTTGTGACAAGTGAGGAAAATTCTGCTATCAGGAGCCTAGAAGAGCTCCTCATATAACCCTGATGAGTTCATAAAGGTTGACATGCATTCCAAACTTCAGAGATAAACACTGCTAAATGTATTAATAGCCCCTCTGATACTGATGATAAATTTGTCTTTATTGAAGTACAAATAATGGAATCCATATGCCCCCTTTACTGTTCTACAACAACACATCATTCATGTTGCCTGGCAGTTTTTGTTTGCTGTTCTATGGGGGTCTGTGTGGGTTTCTTTCTTGGTTAGCTGGGCTTTTCAAAGCAAACTCCCTATGATGAAAACCTCAATAATAGTGAGCTCCTGTTCTTCCCAGACTACTTAACCCCTGGAATAAACAAATGTATTGGTCCAGGATAACTTTTTAGTATTTCCTAAGAGAATGGAGTGTCCAGTCCCCTTCTATGCCATAGCTACATCTCCAGCCTGCAATGCAAAGGATTCAAGAGCTCACAAGAAACCTTACCCAGCAGTGACTACCAAGGGAAAGACTTCTCACACTAGCTCAAACTCATTGTGCACAAAGTTTTAAGAGCTCACTCTTCAAATAAGGAAGAGAAAAGCTGAAACTTCACAAGCACAAGGAAGTCTCACAGCAAATTCCACCACATAGGGATGTTGCTGTTGCTTTCTGCCTTGTCTGTCCTCCCCTCCCAGACAATTCTCATCTCTGTAAGATACTAGCAAAAATCTACTCCTCCACATAAAAGGCTACCTGTAAATCAAAATGTAAATTGAGGTGTCAGATCACTTTTTAATAGTACTTGGATTTCATTTCAAACATCTAAAAATAGATCAACTGCCCTACTTTAAACCTCCAAAATAACCTGATAAATCCCTTCCAAAACTATCTATCTATCTTTTAAATAACTGAAATGTCTATTTGAAATTAAAATATGTTTATTTAGTTCAAAGTATTACAGTGATTTTAAAATGAGGAAGCTCTTTACAAAAGGAGAACAATCTTTTAGAAGCTTGTGGTAACAGTGAAAATATCCATGGTGCATATTAACATGCATATCCACACATTCATTTTATTTCATCAGCTATTCTCTCTAAAAAGTGTACTAACCATATTAATCAGGCCTGTCAGTACAGCCAAAATTCTGAAAAAACAGTAACCCAAAGCAATAGACTGTTGTTTTCATGGCAAGAACATACAATACTCTGTTATAAATTATTCCAGTGGAAAATTAAAAAAAAAAGAGCAAGACAATGAAGAAATCAAGAGATTAAACACCAGTTTTCATAGGAAAAAATAGTTTAGAAAAAAAAGTTTTACTTTGAACTTGCCAGGAAAAACAAATGAAAACTACCAGCATATGGATTTGAGAAAAAGAGCAATGTTGGCATGGAGACCAGACTGGAGGTTCACAAAAATATCTTGTCTTTAATTTCACGCAGCTTTTTCAAAAAGGAAGGGGGTTTTTTGTGTCAAGCTATGCTGCAGCACTGCCTGATAATGAAAACAAAAACCAGCACCACCACAAAACCCTGGGCCTGCCACGCTTTCCCAGAAATGCAAGTGGTAATAGAAGAAAAAACAGAGTCAGAGAAAAAGGCAGAGAATCCTACCAGGGCCTGTAAGTAGGGTGTTCCCCATGATTTACACAGTTCCTGCCCTGCAAAGTTACACCTGCCAGTAAGCAGGGATCAGACACTTCCTCTGCTGCCCTGGGTAGCCATGACCCTCCCAAGCAGCCCCTGAACTCTCTGGGCACATCCCTGCAAGGAGTGCTGTGAACTCAACAGGGCATCAAACAAATGAGGACAACCTCCAGGCAGGCTGAAGGCAGTGCCAGTCCCAAGGAGGGGCTGCAGAAGCTGTAGAGAGCATTTCCTTCTCCCTGGCCAGGGCTGCTGCTCCCAGGGCCCCTCAGCAGCACCCCAAAAAGCAGCAGTGGCTCAGGGACACGCTGACATTCTGCTGCACACTGAAGCTGGCACATGTCACAGACATTTTATGAAAAATCCTTTCCTTAGGATTTTTTCTCCTGAGAAGCTGAGAGGCCTCAGGAACAAAATGTAAACAATGGTTATCTACTGCTGTGGAATCCAACAGGTAGATCTCATGTGTTTGTTTCTAATTAATGGCCAATCACAGTCCAGCTAACCAGACTCTGTCCGAGACACAAGCTTTTATCATTCCATTCTTTTTCTATTCTTAGCTAGCCTTCTGATGAAATCCTTTCTTCTATTCTTTTAGTATAGTTTTAATATAATATATATAATAAAATAATAAATCAAGCTTTCTGAAACATGGAGTCAGATCCTCGTCTCTTCCCTCATCCTCAGACCCCCGTGAACACCGTCACAGGCACTCTAGGAGAAAACCTGAAATGGTTTTGTGCACACACCTGGCAGGCTGGGTCCATGCAAACCAACCCCAGGAGAGAAGTCCAGGGCAGGGAAAGCAGCCTAAACCCACACAGCAGGAACCAGCCCAGTGCTGATGCCAGCTGAGCTCGGCTCACTCACCACCACAACCTTTTGGCCACAGCTGGGGAACTCACGCTGCACTGCCCAGCATTACAAGGCTAATGTTTCCAGCACAAAAATGTTCTTTCATGCTCACTTCATGACTTATTTTCTCTTTAATTATCCAACCCAAACTTCTGTCATTTGTATCAATAAATCCCCCCTCTGGCAAACCACCCATTGCTCCAAGCATACCCCCTGAACCTGACCATGAACTGAAGCTTCTTTGACCAATTTTCAGTACATCAGTTCCTGTAAAATTACAGTTGAATTCTATCAGAACATACAATTTCAAAAGCAGGGCTTTATCTTTTTCACCAAATTTTTGTCAGCATCTCTAAGAAGCAAAGACCTATCCCAAATCAGAGCCAGCAAGAACTTGGCAATGGCTGGTACAGTTAGCACTTGTGTTTTGGATCATTTCTCACTTCCCTCATAGCCATGGACAGTATTTAATCAATCAACACAAGCTCCTCTCACCTCTTGAGGAAGTTCCAGCTTAGACCTATCATCCAGTCCATTAGAGTGCAAGCCCATGAGGTAAGGGACAGGAGCATCTAGAAAATGAAGGAGGGATGCTGGAAGGATAGGAACATACACGTGCTGCCACTGAAATGGAAACATTAGTGCTGTGATGGTCTCTGCCACTGTCATCAGCCTCTGATAATCTGAAAAACATCAAGAAAATTAAATTTTTTTTTCACAAATACTTTTAAGTAAATGAATTTAAATTAAAGAAATGAGAAGTTGCTTGAAAACAGAAACCACAAAACCCAGTGTTAGCTGAGTGGCATCATAATGAAAACCCAGACCTGCACACGCAGCACATTTTGCTGAAACAACAGAGAGAGCTCAACCTAAAGTAGGTCATTCTACAAGTCATATGGAAATGAGCAAACTAACCCTTAATGCATGCTAAGTCACTTTCTGCTACCTATACCAGGGTCACCAGGAGCACCAGTTTGAACACAGAAGCAATATTGTAATCAGCTAAGAAACACAACAGAAATAATTTCTTTTCTCTGTGCTCAGGGCTTTCTATGGAAGCCTTGGATGCAACCCAAGGCATCTGGTATCTCTCAGATAAACATTTTTTCAAAGAGTGTTTAAATGTCCATAAAGCATGCTGTATAGCAGCCAAGCCAACAGTGTGACTGAAATAACTATGCAGAAAATGAAAAGGATCAGCTTTGTTCAGCTTTTGCAATGCACAACCAAAGGCTCAGTTCAATGTAAAAACAACTCATGTCCTCCTAGAACTTAGGAGCAGTGTTAAAATACCTGTGCAACACACTGAGAGATCTTTTTATGCAGCACTGGTGGCTACAGCAGTTCACAGTGCTGGGCAAACACTGCACCCTCCTCATCTGTAACTACAGAGTCATCTCCAAGGGTTTTTGAAATCCCATAAAGGGGGAGGCAGCACCAGATGTGTGTGCCAATACAGCTGCTGAAACACCCCAACAGCCTTCCAGCTGCCAGGCTGGAAAGGGTAGAAAACACTCACACAACTAGGGCAATTCCTGCCTTCTGCCGGGCTATAAATACAGCACTAACTGGAGACACAGGATGCCTTTTCATGAGCCTGCACCAACATCCAATTCCAGCCAGGAAAGAGGAGGGAATACAAGGAAGAGAAAAACTCAGTAACCTTGATATGTGAGTATTAAGTGTGTGGGGGATGCCTGTCTTCTCCTTTCACAGAACTACAGACACTGTGAAACTGAAAATGACCCTTGAATGGGCAGCTCAGGTGCTGAGGTTTCTGAAGCTGTTGCACAGTCACAGAGGGCAGATGGAAACTGCAAGAATAATATTTTTCTAAACACTCTGGAGAAAAATTAAGCTTAACTGTGCACTTCCCAAATTGATGGCTTTGATTCTATCTTTTAGCCAGCCTCCACTCAAGACTTCAGACAGCAGGAAAAAGAAAGCCAAGAAATTCAGTTCTTGGCATTCATGACTAATTTTGTCTAGAGAAAAAGTTGCAGAGTTTGGGGTCTGCAAAGAGCACCACAACCTAAGAGGAACTCAGCACAGGTTTTGCTAACATCACCCATAATTCTGCAACTTAGGTTTTTAATTTTTAATTTTCACATCAAGCAGTGCTGGTAGAAAAGGTTATTGATGGAGCTACCTGTCACTGCCTCAGAGCAGACCTGCCATGAAGGACCCTTCAACCAGAACAGGTGAGAACAGCTTAAAACAGGTTAAAGGTTTTGCCAAAAGCTGATTTGGACTGAAATACCAATGAACATCACAGCAACACTCCCCTACTCTGCCAGGACACCAGCCTCTGCCTGCACACCTACATATTGGTTTGCAGCTTTAATCACAGCCTGACTGCAAAGAAGTGATGAATTAATGATAAGCTTTGGGAAGAGGAAGATTCTATTCCATACCCTATTTTCTTCAGTTTTTAAAGGACCTTTAAATGCAGCCATAGATACACAAACATTGCAGCTGGTTTGTATTCAGATTGTTTATCTGGAAGTGCAAGCCTTAAAATAGAAACAGTGTTTTCCTACTACACAAACCCCCTGTCTGATCGTGCTGGATAATTTAAATACAACTTCTCCCTCTGTCATTAGGCTAACTTTAGCATCAGCCTTCCACATTAATTATAAAGTAACATCAATAGGTCAGAATTTCTATCCAGTGGGCAGGCACCTCCTGCCAGGGAGCTCTCTGCAGAAGCAGCTCTCATCCTGGATATCCACACGGCTTCAGCCATTCCCAAAGATTTGGCCTGCCCAGCTGCAGCCTGCAAGTAACAGTGACTGCATTCTGCTACTGGCAAAATGCAAGGACAAAGGCAAGAAGCATGAAAATATAAACCAAAATAACTCCTATGTTTTCATAAGCTATACCTACTCAGAGAGGGTATGGAGGGAGTTTTGGGTTTAAAGAAGCAAGCAGCACAGTTCTTGTACCAAAGAATTACAGTAGATTTAAAAATAACAACAACAAAAAGATTAAAAGAGTGAAGAAGTGTTTCAACAGTGCTGTTTCTTGTCCTTGAAATCAGAATGTGCTTTTTCTGGTGTCAATGACATGATTTTTTGGCCTAGTATTGTACACAAGCACTGGCAGGGAAATAATGACATATGACTAGGGCACTGTTAGATGGGAAATGCTTAACTGATCACTGGGCAAGGAAAAGAAAATCCACTACTTTTTTAATATGGCCACTTAAGAACACAGAAAAAGCATGATTTGTTATTCTAGCTGTAAATAAAATACATTATATCTTAAAGTGTGGATGAGAAGTTACACAATAATATCTATCTGTAGAAGATTTTAAAAATCAAAAAATAAATAGAGAGGCCCTGTGCCTGGAAAAAGAGGAACAGGATGGGAAGAAGCTGGCAGCTCTAAGAACCATAATTCCACCTCCCCATTTTCACATTCTACCAGAGAGAAGTCTGTCAAGTGCCCACAGAAATCCTCTGACTCAGCCAAATTTAAAACAATTATACCATCACATTTTGGAACACTTTTTTCTTTTCATCTTCCTACTTCATGGATCACAATGGAATACTGTTGTATTTGTCAAGTAACTCACAAGTCACTTCAAAACCCCTGCAGCTGCAGTAAGAGCCAGCTGTGGTTAGCAGAAGCAGTGGGGTGCAGCATCTCCTGTTGTGTGTCTGGCACAGGGACTCAAGCAGCAAGGTTCCTAAATCACTGGAGGCATAACCAGAGTGTCCTATGTAAGAGATCAGAGCTAGGCAGCACAGAGTAATACTGCAAAGACATTAAACTAATACCTTAAATCTCCAGGATGAACATCATTTTAAACTAGTGAAACAAAGATGGGGAGGAGTGATTCAAAGGCAGGGCAGAAAAAAACCCCTTATTTGTGCTGCAACATGGCAGCAGACAGCTGCCACCCAGAAAATAAAACTGTCCTAGAGCACAGTCTGTGGCAGCAGTGCATTACATTTCTCCTTTTTTTGTTTCTAGCTGTTTAGAAAAATTACCTCCAAGCAGATTTCACAGCTGTCTTAACTCAGTACACACTTTTCAGAAGAGCTCTAGGTGCTCTCTGAGATAAGGAATAAGTCTATTTCACAGTTACAAGAGCAACATAAATTGCAGGAATGCAAACCAGCCCCCACAGAATATCTGGCAGGGCACTTCCCACAGGCCTCCAGCACCACTGGCTCTTTCCAGAGTTCCTCAGCACTTGCAGCATCCTCAAATTCCTCCCTCTCTGGCACTTTTCCAAATGTTGGACAGGTCTCTCAACAGGACAATCCAATTGAGGCATTCATTCCCCACACTTGGCTTACAGCAATCCAAAATACACAAGGCTGTGCCAACATAGTGGGACAAAAGGAGAATTTCCAGAAGCATCAAGTCAGAAACATGTCAAAGGAATCTTAAACCAAAACACTTCCTCTGCCAAGTGAAGTTACTCCTACTCCAAGGACTGACTGAAACTTAAAACACTAAAATAATTTGTTTCCAAAAGAACTGCACTTGGCAACAAATTCATAGAGACATATAATTATGAAAAGGTTTGGGTTGGAAGGGACCTCAAGATCATCTAGTTCCACCAGACCTCCAAGAGGTTTGGGGTTTGGTTTTTATTTTGGTAGTCTTTCATTATTTTGTGTGTGTTTGGTTTAGGGGTATTTTTCCAAGTAAATCTTACAAATCTGTTGATCCTGACGTGTACTGTTCTAAATTTAAATCCACTCAATGAGTGTCACAATCTCACCTGACCTGGGAGAACAAGAAATTTCTGTCACCTCAGCTGTCTTGGGTTGAACAAACTCAAAGGACATTTAAAAACTCAGTATTTATATTCTGAAGGACAACCAAGACTCACAATGGTGTGTATGCAAGAACATGAAAAAGTCTTTACAAAAGTATAGCAACTCCTGATTCCACTTAGAACTGAGTGCACAAATCACCTGTACCTCCATTCAATATCTCCTGCTTTACAAACAGCAAAAAACAGTAACAGTATGGTTACTCAACCATACTGAAGAAAGAGGAGAATATACTAGCACCATATTCGAGTTGAAAAGAACAACAGAGGCAAACAAACAAAAACTAAAGAAAACAGAACAAAAAAGCAGAGAGATTAAATCCCTCAGAAAGTGCTTAACAGAAGTTATGTTTCAAAAAACAAAACTGCCTACTATTACTGAGAAGGCACTGCTGCAGCCAGTTCACCAAACCTGAGGCTCAGAAGACAGCAAACAACTAACAAAAATTATTTTTCTACTGAAAGAAGACTTTTCAACCAAAAAGTAAGGTGAGAACTTGACAGAGAGACAAGACACCTCCATAAAATGTACAGCACAGCCCAGCTGAGCCCAAGCTTGGGGTGAGGCAGGGAAAGAGTGGGCAGAAACTGTCCCAGCTGATCCCTCATCCCTCTGAACTCCAAATGGCTGAGCCTGCAAACAAGAAACTCAAGTGTCCCAGGGCTATTTTAAGCCTCTTTAATTAGCCACTGATCAGACACCTGGAAAGGGCCCAAGACAGAAAGCTGAACCTATTAGAAGGGCTTGGAAAGAGAAGCCAGAACCCAGCAGGCCAGCCCAGAGGTGAGCTGAGCTCCAGGCTGGAACAGCAGAGCACTCACAAGGGGATGGCCTGGAGGGAGCTCCAGGAGCACTGCTCCCACAGGGTGATGGACATGGGGAGCTTCCAACCCTCCACAGGAACCGCAGACACCCCCAGAGGCCAACACCCCCACACCCTTCTTGAGATGCAAGTGCTGAAGTCTGAATCCTCCACTGCTATCCACAGAAACTCTCCCTAAATCTCAAACATATCAAAGCCTAACCCATTTCAGGGGAAACCACAAAGAAGCTTGTCTGCTAGACAAGTATTTCCAGATTTGCTATGAATTTGTTTTTTAAATCCAAGAGAGTAACCACTACACAGTTCTGTAAGTTTTTCTGACTGCATCTGAATTACTGGGCAGTTTTTCTCTTGCAGTTCACAGTGTCTATAAAATGATACAACTGTAATTTAACACCCTGATGCCATTACAGACTTTTAATCACCCTGATTGTACACACAGATCCATCCTTGGCTATAGTCTATGCACAGATCTTAACACACTTAACACAAAATCTGTATTTCATGCTTGGAGATGGTTGCTGATAAATGTAGGTAATATTTTGTAAATAGTTACCATTTGTGTTCTATCTATTTCAAGGAAAGTAAACACTGAAAACAAATTTCAGTAACACCATGGACTAGCTCTGAATTTGTCTAGGGGTCTTTTAGGTTTCCTAACCATTACTATAAAGTAGTGTTCAAATGCAGGCTGTCTGCTTAAACCACACCATTCTGAATGAGTGAGTCTGGACTAATGTTAGTCAGCTTGGGACCAAAAAGAAAAAGTACAGAAATTATCTTTTGGCATAATTCCACATAGTCTGTGTTAGAGCAACAGGATGTGGAGAAAGAAGGCCAGTATCCACAAATTTCAACACAGAAAATAGATACCACTCCCACACTACTCACTAATTGATAAACATGCTATTTCAGCTCAGTTGCTGCCCATCCTCTCCAAAGCAAGCTTTAGCTCTGTGCCTTCAGAGCTGTCACTGTTTCAAGGCCTTCATGGAGATTTGGGATTTGAGCTCAGTCAAAACTTTTTTCAGGCACTTCTCTTTCAAAGTAACAACTGAAATGTGACTTTGGGTGCTCAAAGAGAAAACTGCATTTGCATGATTAACTCTTCTTCAGAACCAGATATATACATAATTAACTGTGTACTGTTTCAGAATGCATGGCTAGTTCTGCAGAGATAGCAGGGAATTCAGCTGAGCAGCTAGACAGGAACATGGAAAAGGCAAACTGCTCTATCCAGGAGCACAGTTCCAGAGCCAACAACAAAGGGGTCAGCCAAACCACAAATAGAGGAGATGATGTGAAAAGCCAGTTTTAAGTTTAGGTGTCTAACAGCAGGAGCCAATGCAACACTCTCCTTACAGTGCTTTTCTTTACCTGAAGACCTGCAGACAGATCAGCCAGACTGCAATAGCATGCTCATGCCACTTTAATGCAGCTATTCTGCTGTTTGTGGTGCTTTTAGCATTCAGGACACAGTAAGATCTTGCACCAGTACAACTACAAGATAAGAAAACAAAACCCAAGTACTCACGCTGTGAATATAGCAGTATCTGAAACTCCAAAAGGGCACAGGTAAAGAGTTGAACCACATTTTCTACTCCAAGCAATTCAAAAACTTCTTTAACAGGAAAATCAAACAATGGTAGTTCATTGGTGCTTGGCCTCTGGCAGATAATTGGTCCATAAACACCTGAAAACTTCAATGACCTTCCTGCTGGAGGAAGAGGAACCTCATAGAGAATATTGTAGATGTAGCTCTCTAAAGGGAGCGGCGGTGGCTGAGGCGAAGTCACTGCTTGGTGAAGCTGTTCCAGAACTTTCTTACAAGCTTTCATGAAAGACATTGGAGTAATCAGACAAATGCACTTGGAGACATAGAGAGTGTCTCTGCTGATGTCGTAGGAGTTAAACCGCTGCAGCTTTGAGACAGAGGTGCCATTGCAGTCCCCGGTGCTGCTGCAGCTCTCCTTGTCATTGGAGGGAGGGCTGTGAAGAATGTCATACTCAGCATTGTGCATGTGGTACAGGGTCTGCATTGCACTGCAGATCTGCTTGCTAGTGACCTCCTCAAAAAACGTGAGAGAAAATCCAAATGTCCGCGAGCCATCTTCGCGAGTGATAATGAAAGAGTGGAACTGAGGTTCTCTGCAATCTGCTTGTGTCTTGAAAGCAAGCCCTTTAGGCATACACAGCTACAAAAAAGGGGAAGGGGAGACAAAATCCATTAAAAAACGCTTTTCCCTCCCCCTGCCCGCAGAAGCATTGGTGAAAATGGGATTTAAAATCCACAGGCTGCCATCACATCTCACTTTAAATTCTATTAACTGTTACATTTCTGCACAATACAGTGATATGGGTCTAAATCAGAAAAACAAAAGGAATGTATCAAAAGGGCTGCATGCAATTTCTATTGAAACTTATTACTATATTGTTACCAGCCTCATATTTTTAGGAATAAAATAATAAAATTCAAACACATATAAAGGAAAGTACTTTTCTGGTCACCAAGGCCAGAAACCTGAGAGAGAAAACTGTTATATTTTATCTAAATGAAGATACACCACATTCTATTAAATGGAAAAATCATGCACAAAAAAATTAATTAACTGCAGACTAATTTATTTCTCTACTAATTCTCTAGAAGTAACAAAAAACCCAAAAGCCATGAAGTGATACTGACCATTCCCACTGCATCCTGGTCAAAAGGATTCCATTCAACATTCTCAGGATAGCGAGCAAGAACTTTGGATTTAAATGTGCGTCTTAACGGAGTCTGCTCAAAGTTTTCCCCTGCAGATGAAAGAAAAACACATAAGTCAATATTTCATTCCCTTTTTGAGCAAAAACAAGGCCAAAAAGCAGGACATCAGCAGGTAGACTCGAGGGTAAGTGAATTAAGGACACATTCCTTTTAAGAGAAACAGAAAATGCAGACAGTTGGTTAGCATATAGTCAGACTGCAGATATTAGCAAGGATTAGCTTTGTAACATTTCTGTGTCACTGAGTATCTGTGCTTTTCCTTAAGTGTGGCAGTCTTGAGATTGTGGTCATGACAGCAATTCTCTAAGCCACTCTTCAGATATTTCAGATTCTTGTTAAAACACAGCGAAAGCTTCAGTTTCAGTGCAATGTTGTTACTGAAGAAAAGCACAAATAGACAAAATGCAAAGATGATGCAACTTTTAGATAGACATACAAGTGACATCATGAGATCTCTTAATTTCATTTTCAAGACTCAGGAAAAAAGATAACCACCATCTATTGCAAGAAGTTAGCTGTGAAGGAAGAGTCTAGAAGGTTAGAAGGTCAAGAACCACATAAACGTCCATGAAGAAAGAGTATCAGATGAACAAAGTGCTTTTTTTTTTGCCCCACACTTTTTCCTTTACCTTCTGTTGCACTTGAAATGAAACGGCTGCCACCATCTCGGGTTTTAGAGGCCTGTATATACTGGCATAAAGCTATATAACAAATAAAAACAACACTGCATTATACATTTCATACTGTTGATCGTGATCCCGTCGCTAACATACACCAGAAAAAACATACAAATATCCAGAATTAGCATGCAGAACAGGCTACTCCCCTAATATGCTTTTTCTACATACACAACTTATATAAATTTCTCATTTTACCTACACATTTCTAGAAGGAGATGATCAGTATGTAAGAGAAGCTCACTGTTCCTGTACACACAGCCAGAACACTGATGCAGGAGGAACAAGCTGCTTGAGAAAATTAAGTTTCACATGATAACTACAAAATATTCCCAAAGAACAGATGATGAAACTGACCCCAAGGACAAGATCATTTCAAGGCCTTTAGAATTGTGTGAATTTAAGTGGCATGGTCCAGCTTTCCACAGGTGCTATCCATACACAAGATTAGCTGAAAGCCTTGTGTGGAAGCTCTGAAATTTCCTCTAGAGCAATGACAGCCCATTGTGATAGCACAGAACCTTCTGCAGTAAATACTCTGAGTGTGAGCAGTTGCTTTAAAAAAAACACAAATGTGCAACTGTGTATCTTAAAATAAGCTTAGCTATATTACTAGAATGCAATTAGCTAAATGAGCATGCAGCTGTTGACAGCTGCACTAACAATCAGGCACAATTGCATGAAATCATATGCTTTAAATAAATGGAACTATTTCAGCAACACCTGCAAAAGAGAAAATACACTCCAACTCCTCTCTTGTTTTCTTACATGCAGCAATTACAAGGCAATAGAAATTGATTTCAGAATTGGTTGGGTTTGTTTTGTACGTCTAGAGTAATATTTAAAGTTCAATTTCAAAGCCAAGTTAGAATCTTTATTTGGCACAACACTTACTTGCAGTAAGTAGCCACAGACAGAGATCTTGCAGCACTGTCTCTGCACAATACAGAACCCAACACAGACATTACACCAAAGCGCACAGAATTTCCAGTGAATGCTTAACAAGTCCTTTGACAGCTGAGAAGCCTGGTAACTGCGGATTTTCTTTAAGTCTTAAATACTATCTCAGACAGGGAACTTACCCTGAATCAGGACCTAGGACAGGTCTCACAATACCCAAAATATTAACATCTATTTTGTTAATTCTCTGGGTTTTCGCATGAAAATGAAGGAGGCATTGTTTTCATTATTTGTCTGAAAAATCAACAGCTCAGCTAATTTTCATACAAAATCACACAGCTACATTATTTATTAATCTGTTCAACCATATCATTCAATAATATCATTGTTCAGAAAGAAAAAAATGCGTATTTGGGAAAATCTGAAACATGTAGAGAGAGGAATAGTTAGGAATAACCAGGACACAACTTCACTGAAATATAACCATCTTACAAAAGAGTAGAGCTAAAGACAGAAAAGATAACAGCATCTCCACAGCTAACACAACCATAAAAGATAAAAATAAGCATTTAAAGAAACTTCCAGTCTCCCAGAAAGAAAAATGGACATAATGCCACATCTCTACTGACACAAACATCCACTCAAGTGAAGTCAGTCCTCTGTAAAAAGCTTTTAAAAGTATGTCAGGAGATTTAACACACCTACTGTTTTCTATATTTACATCTGTGCAGATGATGTAATGTCAACTTTTAGATAATTGAGGAAAAACCTCAGACATGTACTAAGCTGTTTTGTTCCTTGGCTGGCTTTTTTTTATCTTCCACATACGTAGAGGAGAGAAAATACACGAAGGCCAAATTTTCTCCTGAACTTGGAAACCACACAGCACAAACACTGAGTCCACCTATGTGCAAGGATATACATTTTGAAATTAAAAAGGAAGATCTGTGATTTGAAAGACCTTTTCATTAAGAGTAGTAACACTGCAAAATACATGATGCTGCATGATAAAAAAAAAGCCCAAACCCTAACAAACACTGAATGGATGTTCACTATTTAAAGAAGCCTTGCACCATCTCCTCCCAAGAGACATTCTCACCAACACACTCTTAAATTTTTTAGAGCTGGAGTCTGGCTGTAATTTAATGAAAGGACCAAAATTGATTTCTGGAAACCACTGAGTCCTGATTCAGACAGAAGCATAAGGAACCCTGTCAGGCCTTGCTGCCATCCATCAAGGCACTCAGCTGTGGCACAGACACTGCTGCTGCTGCCACTGTGCCCCAGCAGCGCCTTCCTCTCCTCTCCTCCTCACTGGAATGCTGCTGCCAGCCCTGCAGGATGCTCCTCTGCCCTTCCACAGCAGCACAGTCTCCCATTCCCAGGCAGCTCTTTTGGGAGAGACTTCATGCTTGGAACATCACAAACCCCTGGACCATGCTGGCTCCCAAAGATCCTGGTTCAAACAAGCAGGGAATGCCAAGGGACAGCTCAGCCTAGGTGATCTGTGCAAGCCCAGGACACTGGACACTGTTTTCCTGCCATTACAAGGAAAGGGAACCTGAGCACCTCTATTTCCTTTTCCTGAGCTCCCCCTTCTCTCCTCTCTAGTGACTGTCACTAGACAGCCATCAGCAGTGGAGAGGGGGAAAATCCACAAACAATATTTACTTACAGCCAGAAGCAAAAAGCAATTAATCCTAAATGTCTACATTTATGATCAGCCTCAAACAGAGACACCCTGCTACAGCAAAGCACCAACTGCAGCACATCTCCAGCAGCAAAAATAACTCAAGGTTTCAAGATCTGTCTGTGTGTGAATTACAGAGTGACAGAATTAAAAAGATATTCTGAGCTGGAAGGGACCCACAAGAATCATTGAGTCCAACTCTTAAGTAACAGGAATCAAGCTACAACCTTCATGTTATTAGCACCATGCTCTAACCAACTGAGATAATCTTGGTTTCCTTCAGTTAGTTGATTAATTCAGGAATAATTGAAATGGTTTTGATAAAAAGAGTGAAGAGCAATTTTAGCAAATGCAAGAGACCAACTCACCAGCAGAAATGGACAGTTGTATTCTGCAACTAAGAAAATGAAGGCATAAGAGGAAAAATGAAGGCATGAAGGCATAAGAGGAAATAAAACTGATAAAAATATTATGTATGCCATAAGTTGAGATAGAGAGCAAGTTCCCATACTTAACAACCATCAAAGGACTGCTATCCTCATATCATGTTTTTCACATGGTTTCTCTCCCTTAGCAGAAGTAATAGCTAGTACTTTCCTTATCCAAGTTATAGTAAAGAATTCCTTAGAAATTATTTATCTAAAAATAATTTCTTTCTTTTATACACATTCCACGCAAAAGGAAAATTTTGGGGATTTTTAATGGAACACAGTATTTCCTGCTGAAGACTAGAGAGGTCTTTCAAACACCATTGATGTTCTTCATATACACATTTACCCCTCAGGTGTTTGTTATATCAGAGGAAAAGCTCTACAGAGATCAAGATGTAAAATGTCCCACACACTGCAAAGCTGCAACTACCTTGGACTTAAATCAGAGTCAATAATCAAACAACTACAACTCTAAGATTATTTGTCAAGAAACATCAAACAACATATGAAATCCATAAACACCCAGCAATACTTCAGGAAGTTTCAGGCCAACATCAAACTTTCAAAACAGTAAGAATCCCACTGCATTTTGCAATGTAAACAATAACATGAAAGCATAGAGAAATATAATTTAACCAGGCTCAGTACAAATCCACAAGCACCAGTTTAGCGCAGCCCTGACACTGCACCCAGCAGGGGAATGACAGTGACACAGAGCATCTCAGAATTTGTCATTGGGAAAAAACCACTCCCTGTGTCATCCCACTCAAAATAGGATCGGTGAAACAACATGGATTAAAAATAAACAAATAGAGAATAAAGAAAGGGTTAAAAAAGATTAACATTTCACTAATCCAGTACAGTCACACCAACAGCTTAATTAGCTCATGGTGATTCCCCAAAACAGGAGGGAAGCAGAAAGTAAAGCAGACACAGGGGCTGTGAAACTGGTGAGCTGGAGAAAACACGTGCTAGAGCTCTAATACCTGCTGGCTCCTGAAGTCAGCCCTCTCTCCTCCTGAGGCCCAGCTCAAAACCTGCTGGCTCCTGCCATGCCAGGCAATAAATAGATTTTTCAACACCAGCAACCATCACCAGCTCTGGTGATGCCCTTTGCTTCCTCTCCCATTTTTCACACTTTACCAACCCTCCCCATTAAACATGATAGATCCCTGCTGTCCTGGAGATGGCTGAGCACCTGCCTGCCCTGGGGTGGTGGTGAATAATTCCTCTTTTGCTTTACCTATTAAGCTGTTTTTATCCTGACCTGAGAGTTTTCCCACTTTTACACTTCTGATTGCCTCACCCACTCCACAGGAGGGGAGCGAGAGGCTGTGAGGGGCTGGCTGAAACCACACCACCGCGTAATTCGAGAAGACATGCATGAAAGACTTAAGTTATTGGAGGCAGCTCGCTTATCAAAGGGGAGGTCACCAGCTAGACACAGCCTCTGAGGAAGTCTCCTTGGCTGAGGGCTGTCCAGGATTGCAGGTTTGGCCTGGCTCCTCCTGGGCAGGCAGAGCTCAGCTGAGAGCAGGCTCAGACCACAGAGGGGGACACTGAGCACCAACAGGATTAAATCCCACATCAGAGGCAGGTAATTCTCCAACACCTCCCTCTCACATCTTTTCAGTAAACTGAACCTGATGGACTGAGTTGTGTGCATAAAGCAAACAACAAACCTGCTCAGGATGGCCAGAGAGTTGAAACACATTACATTTATTTGGAAGATCCAGCTCAAACAATCCAGCTCCCCTTTTCACAGCAGCTCACACCGCTGCTCTAACAGCCACCTAATGCTGTTTGCAATGTATGGAACCATGATGGGCTTTCAGTTTCAACTTCATTTGCACCACCTGAAATTATGCTGGCCTACATATCTGTAATTTGGACTTTGTAATTGCCAGCACATTAGAGCAGCTAATGCATGCACTGCAAGTATCCTACGCTGAACTAACAAGTACACCTAATTTTATCAGCCCCTTCCTGAGTCACCTAACACT